CGGCGGACGTGGTGGTCGCGGCGGCGGCAGACGTCGCGGTCGCGGTCGCGGTGACGGGCGCAGTCTTCCCCGAGGGCCCCTTGATGGTCACCTTCTTGACCCTAGGCACGCCCTTGTCGGACCTCGTCTTGCGGGGGCGCTTCGGGACGATGAAGGCCTCGCCGGGTTTGGCATGAGCGTTGACGAAGTCGACGACGAGGGGGGGTTCGGCAGGACGCTTGTGCCCTCGCGGGGGGTTGCTGCCGTCGTCGACCATGCTGGACCCGGTCTGAGGGGAGGCCAACGAGGCGTCATCAGAAGGAGGAGGTGTGGGGCTGGAGGGCGAGGTGTCCGAGGGAGAGGTCACCGGGGCAGACAGGGCAGAGGCAGTGGCTATCGACGTAGAGGTCGCATCAGCGAGGCCGGCGGCGGCGGCGGCGGTGGTCGTGGTCGTGGTGTCGACGATGCCGCCGGTGGTGGCGGTGGAGATGGAGGTGCCGACGGGGGCGTTGTCATTGGCGGTGGTGGTGGTGCCGACGGCGCGAGTCTCAGAAGCAGTAGCAATACTCACCGCAGGCGGGTTGCCCATGTTCCCATCGCTGCCATCCCCGTAGCTCTGAATCCACCCCTCCCACTCCGGGTTCGTCAGCTGACGAAAGGTGGCGACGTCGTTCTCGAAGGCGTGCAGGATGATGAGTAGTTCTTGGCGAGAAGACATGGAACCGGGGGCCTTGAACGTCGTCAGGGGCCAACGTTCAAGCACTACTCCGAACCGCAGAGTGATGTGCTGATGAAAGTTCACGTAGAACATCTTCGTGACGTTCGCGCGGGTGCACGCCGCCTCTGTCGCGTTGTTAGTTCGCCGCCAGATGATCAGTAACGCAGATGTAGACTTACGGAGCTTCTGCAATATGAGAGTCGACACTTTGTGCTTCAGGGTCAGGAATTCCTCGACGCGGTTCTTCTTGAGACCTTCGCGGACGTCATTAGACCGCACGCGAGGAAGTGAAGGGCAAGAACTTACTGTCCACCCCGGAAATGCAGTACCCTTCCAGCCGCATGGTGAAGTCTTGCATGGACGAATTGGTGACGAGCTCGATGTATTCGCGGATACGTTCGTTGGTGTAGAACACGAACGGGGGGGCGATGGAGTTGGGGTCCGTCCGCATGCCGAGGATGATGATTTCGGTGCCGGTGCGTTTGTTCAGGTTTTCGATCTGTGGATGCATGCATTCAGTAAGATACGGACTCAATGAAAAAGATTACTCACGTCGCGACGAATCTTCGAGGTAGTGGTGCGAACGTCGTGCAAGGAGTGGAGCGCGACGTTGTGGATGCCCTCGTCGCGGTTCACACGACGCTCCTCCAACGCCTGTAGGGCGCCGGCACCCGCATCCTCCTGCTCCTCCGGGGACATCGCCTGCCATCGCGCTGAGAGCTCCTTGATGAACTGGGAGGAGACGCGATTGCGATCGCCCCTATTGCGGTCTACAGACTTAGTCAGCCCACAACTACGGGGGGTTAATTAGATGCCCCAGGCGGAGCACTCACCAGCATTGAACTTCTGCATCTCGACGCTGACGAAGCCATTCCAGAGGGAGAGCTTACGAGGGTGGCTGCCACCGCCGGGAGAACGTGCTTGCATGATGAGGCGGTAGTAGTATTCGATAGAGTGGGAACCGTGTTCCTCGCGCATTGCCGTGGCCAGCTGCCACACAGCTTGCCGCGCCGCCAGCAGTGACGCCTGCAGGTTCTGCCTCCGCTCCACACGCCGCTGTTGAAGCGCCCGCTTCTCGGCCTTCGTGAGCTTCGGCCGGCGAGCGCGACGTTCACGGTCCTCGCGCGCTGTCCACGGCATCCTCATGCGCCTTACCGCGGTACCTTTTCGCGAGTCCTTGGAGAGACGGCGCAGCACGACATCAGCAGCCTTTACCATTGTTAAAAAAAAACGCGATATAGACGGAGAGGGGCGCGAGAGGACCGGTCGAGCGGGAGGGGGACAGGTAGCGAGCGAGGAATTAAGGGTAACCTCAAGTCTACGTGGCACTAGCAGACCTTATACTTAATGTGTTTGTTTGGGGGGCCAAATAAATCATCAACAGTCACGTGAGGGCATCAGAGCAACATAGCGGTATGTGAACAACAGCAAAAATCGAGATACAGGTTACAACGACGACCGGGAGACCGGGATCACCTTTGTCCGAGCCGAGGATCACCTATGCCAGACCCGGCAAGACGATCACCTCCCACAGAGCCTTGCAGTCCTCGATGTCCCACCCAATAGACAGGCTGAGGTGGAAGGAGAACGACTCGACACTCCCGCAGTGGACGGCCGCCTGGAGAACCGCCAGGGCGTCGGCATCGGACGCGCCCTTCCTGAGCAAGAACGCATCGGCGCGGGAGCCGAAGTGGAGGGGCAGGGCGCGATTAGAGCCCTGCATCGACGCCGGCGGGCGAACAAGCCGGTCGATGATCTGGCGGCCGACTTCGAGCGCGAGGCCGCTGTCGATGGCTACAATGAAGTTAGCATACATACATGTACATGTATATGGCAAATATGTATGTACCTGCGGCCAACTGCTCGTCCATCGAGCCGGCATCCGAACGTTGGCGCCGTTTCTCCTCCGAGCGGCGATGAGCGGGGGACGAGTGCGAGGACGAGTGCGAGGACGAGTGCGAGGACGAGTGCGAGGACGAGTGCGACGACGAGTGCGACGACCTCGCGTTCGCGTTCGCCGACGGCGTACTCCGCACGCGCGAAACCGAAGGCGAGGGAGGCGGCGCGGCGGCAGCCTTACGAGGAGACCCGGACCGCTTAGTGGGCGACGCGGGGGGGGAGCGGACGTCGCCGCGAGACGTCGACTTCTCGCTCTTGACGGGCGGCGCCGGGACGTGCGCATTCTTCGGGAGGAGAGGCAGGGTGAAACCCCTCCCCTCCTTCTTCAGCATGTATATGATAGCCTCCGTGATGGTCGTCGGTTTGCACCAGACGGGCTTGATCGTGGTGGGGAGGGTGTTGACCTGGTGTCCAATCGCATTCCTGTAAAGGCTCAGTTAGTAAAAATGACACGAATAAGATATGTGCGTACCATTCGAAACCTGCCCAGATACCAGTCTCGACGCCGACTTTGATCGCGTACATCGGATTGCCGGCAGTCATGGATATCTCTGTCGCCAAGTTCTGGACAAGGTAGATCATAGTGTGGTTGTCGTTGTCCTCGACGTCGGCGAAGACGGTGTCGTTGAGGCCATCAATGGCGATCGCATCCTCCTCCGAGGCGCAGGTGACGACAACGGGGAGGAGGGCCTTGTATTCGCCGAGCGCGGTCTGCGGGGGGCTGCGATTTTGTCGAAACTAGCGACTAATCAGTACGAGGCGCACGAACTCACCGGTTGCGTTCGTACAACCCGCGCTTTCGGCCGCCAAGCAGAACGATCCACGGGCCATTGTAGGACGTCTGATCGCCAGCCATGATAGAGTATCAAGCAGTCGCGAGAGAGGAGAGGCGGGCGGGGGCGAGGGACGATCAATGGGGATGTGGTTGAAGTGAAGGACGAGAAGCGCTGAAGTGAGAATTCGTGCACGTCTTGCATTCCGCCATCGCTCACCCGCTGCCGCATGTGCATCACATGTGCGGACTGCACTCCTTCCTCATGACACATACCAGCAGCTTCCTGAGAAAATATGTACATATACGAGACTATCCTGTTTCTAATCAGTAGGTTTCTGGACATCGTCGCTCGAGAACACATCGGCGGAGTACAATAACAGTCTGCCGAACGTCTGGATTGCACGCCACACATTGCAACCTCATGCATGATTACTTCTCGTCACCCCGTGCCCCTCGTCCCCCTCCCACATACCGTGTGCTTCTCAAAAATTTGGCAATCTCTGCCCGAGGAGATGGCACCTTAAGCGTTCAGATATTCAGAGGAGAAATTGAATTCCTTGCAGAAATGACAATGTGTGCACAAGTAGCTACAGTGTGATATCAGCGAGATACTCCATAATCGCATTCACCTCTCCGCCGACTTCATCGTCATCCATAGGGTCCTGTGCCTCTGCGTCATCCTGTGTGACTGCTGCGGATTCTGTGGTTACGAGGCTCTCTAGGTAGGATGGGGGGACAAGGGGCGCTCCCGCATGTACGCCGGGTGCCCGGGTGCCCGTAAATCCCGTAAGCGCGTATGTGCGCTCTATGTATGCGAGATTGCGCGCGTTCGCGGCGCGGCGATGGCGGATGTAGTGTTGCGCGGCGCCGAAGAGCGGGTCTCCTCGCTTCTCGAGATCCTCGAGGACGGCGGCGAAGAGAACCTCCTCGTCGCGAATCCATGTGTGAAGGCGCCGGATGTCGCGGTTAGCGTTGCGGAGCTCCTCGTGAGCGCGGTCGATGCGCTGCATGATGCGCATCGTTTCTCGCACCACGGGCTTCGCCCAGTCCTTCTCGCGGATGTCCTTGCTGGTGTCCCGAAGCAGGGCGAACTCCTCGAGGAAGGCATAATGCGACGCCTTCGACCAGTCCAGAGTCTCGCGGGGTGGATCGAGCTCGCGCGCAGCCTGGTTGTACACGTTCACCGCATTACGAATGGCCTTGCATCGCGTCTGGAGACTCTTCGCGATGTGAGTGCGCGCCTTGTATCCTACAGGGAGAGTGAGCGACGTCATAGTCGATATTAAGAATTGTGCAGGGACGATCCGTGATCGGGGATGCGATCGTAGATCAGGCACTCACCGGTCCGTGAAAGATTCAGCTTGTGAAGCTCGAAGAGGCGCTGAATCACCAGGCGCTGGAGCTTACCGAGAGCGCGATGATACCGCCGCTCCGAGATGTATTTGATGACCTCCCGGTAGTTCGAATCTCCTGGCTGCCACCGCGACGCGATGTCAAGCCTGACCTCCATGGCGTTGACCTCTGCAGTAAGCTGCTCGACGCGCTCCCTCAGGTAGCGGCGACGTGTTTCAAGTTTTCGCGTGGCGGAGAGGTCGGCGGTGTAGTCGGTCGGTCCGCTGCGAGGCGGCAAGAACGAGAGCGTGGTGCCTGGAGCGCGGTCCCCGGCTTGATCGTAAAAGCGCCGGGATACCTCGGAGAGTTCGTCCCTGACAGATACGATTAGAGATACATAGCCGAAGATGATGTAGTGACGTACGTAGTCTTTCTGAGTCCCTGGAGGGCCTCCACATATGCGATGAGATGTACGTTGGCCGGATCTTCATCCTTCCATGTCGTAAAGTACGTCGACTCCTCCTTGATGAAGGCCCGTAAGCTGGCGTCGGTATAACCGAGCGCCGCCTTTGTCTCCTCGACCAGCGCGGTCTTGTCCTGGATGATGTCGAGCGCTTGTACATAATTATTGTAGATCATCAAACCGAGATTGGCGTACTTCTCCGCATCGCGTTGATGGAAGAACATGTCGATGAGAACGTGGCGGCGGTAGGGTGTCGCGTAGCGTGTAACGGGGCCGAGCTCGTTGGAGTCGCCAAAGACACGCTCGAGGGTCTCGAGGTCTTCCAACCCGATACCTTCGATGCAGTTGGGGTGGAAGCGCACCTGACAATGGTATGCGTGAGAATAGCCGTGGAAGGCGTTGACGCAGAAGCGTGATCCGGATTCTGCGAAGGCGGTTCCGAGGGAGCTGTTCTCGACCGTCTTCTCGAACGTGCAGCCGATGTCGTAACCGACCGCGTTCTTGCCCCCGATCACATCCAAGATCTTCGCAACGATGGCGAGGGGATATTTCGCACTGTGTGATCGTTATGAGTGACCTTTGCCGCGGAACGGACACAATCAACCTACAGCTCGCCGCTCCGCACCATATCAACTAGCCAAAGCATGATTCCATGGCGACAACAGCACGCGAAGACACCTGTCTCCTCGAAAATCCCCCACATCCGCTTGTTCGATTCCGATGCCGCGGCTTTCCAATTGGTAGCACACGGAGCGCTAGCGCTGTCGGCGGCTGTTCCGTCGGTCGGATCACCCTCGTCACTGTTGCTGAACGGGCCGTGATCGAGCTCCTCCGAGTCCATCTCGTCGCGAGCGCTGGTGTCCATCAAATCAGGCTTACTCTGCTGCTGGCGGGCCTTGACTTCGTTCGCGAACTTCGCGACAAAATCGCGCGAGAGGAAGTAGTCGCTCTTGAACTGACGTTGGTCGCCCGCGGACCGACCTTCCGCCGTTGCGAGTCGTTTGAGGCTGTTGTTCCCGTCTATGCATAGCATTCGATCAAAGACTGTGGATTCCTCCTCCTCAAGCTGAAAGGGGGGCAGAAATGTCTCGTTATCGATGTCTTGCACACGAGCAAGGGACTTACCTTGTACGCGCACGGCGGACATGCATTCACAGCCCTCCAATCAGGTCCGTCCCGTCCAAGCTTCGCCATCACGCTCTTCTGGACTTCGCGTAAGATCGTAAGGTAGATATCAAAAGCGTCGGCGATCGCCGTCCGGTAATAACGGCGGTATGGAATCTATAGTTACAAGTTCATTAGTACGGAGTGGCTGTGTGAGAGAGGAGAACGTACATAGTACAGGTAGCAGAGGAGCTTTGCGAACGCCTCCGTGCTGAAAGACGCCTTGAACAGTTTGATGCAGCGGAAAAGCTCCAATGTATCGAGGGAGATGGCGAAGGATGGGGTGATCGGAGAACTGCCTAGATAGCCGTGGAGGACGAGCGCCATGGCGGTTGTTTGATCGCCGGACCGCTTGATGTGGGCTACATGCTTCTTGGCGGAAATGTCAATCACCTTGATATCGAAGTCGTACTCCGACTGCTCAGCTGGGATGGCGAACTCGTCCGTACCCGGGGTACGCCCATATTTCCAACGCAGATACGCTTGCACGAGCTGGGGTATTAATGGTGCCCAGTTCTGGTCGAAACGGGTTCTTCTCTGGCGCCAAGTACGCTGATCGCGGTTGCGGCGATATCCAGCACTGTGCGCACGAACGTCATTCATCAGCATTGCCGAGATCAGGCTCCGAGATCATCTGGAGACTCACCGGTCCTGGACGATATCGCGAATAGCGTACGTGATGTTAGCGGCGTCATTCTCATCAGGTACGTCCTCGTAGTCCCCATCATTGTCGTCGTGCTCGCCGCCCATCAAAACGTCTTCAATCTGAGATTCGAAGCTCTCCGGCGGATCCTCCCCGCGTACCGCGGCGAGCCCCTTCAGTGCTTCCGTGCCCATCGCTGTAAGGAAGAATGAGTACGCGTTCTCCATATCACATAGCTGTCACTTACACTGCCTCAGCGAGGAGATCCGGGCGGTCGCGTCCTGTCTTTCTCGCGGGAGCTCCTGCGCCGTGTACACTTTACTGGTGAGTCCCCGTAAAAACGGCGGCAAGCCCGGATCTGCACTCGGATCGAGCCCCGGGCCCGCCATGATGATCTTCCGGCGGGGTTGCTTAGGCATACTGAGGGATGTAGGGAAGGGAGGTGAATAATGATGATATAGGAGGGGAGTGGTCTCCCATGTAGTATGTACCTCACGGCTTATAGCTTGCCTAACGTCGGGCCAGCCGTACGCCCATATCACCATATGTTTTCCGCGTGCCTTAGGGCGTGTACTTACCCGAGCGTTGAGGCTGGCTTCGGTACGAAACATGGAGTAATCTACGCGGCATCAGGGGTCACGTAACCTTACCGCAGGGGATGCGCACGGCGCGCCTCCGCGTTCTGCGCCCCACACGAGTAGATGCCGACTAGGTGGGCACCGCACGGCGCTGGCCGCTGATAGGACGCTCGCCATGGACGCAACAAGCAGGCAAGAGAGTGGGGAGGGGAGGAACGGCGGCGGGGAGCCTTGGCGGACGGACGATGGAGCCGAGATCTAAATCTTACCTGAGTGCCTGCGGGGACGTCGGTGATTGCGTAACCGAACCACGGGGAGCTGCACGATGCGCCGCCTCCGCCCTCCGCCCTCGACGTGAGGAGATGCAGACGATCCGGGCGACCCACAGTGCTCGTCGTTAGTGCAATTACCTCTCCGACAAGCAGGGAGGAGAGGGAGGAGAGGAAGGAACAGCGGCGGCGAGCCTTGGCTCGAGAGCGTATTCGGGCTGCTGCCTTGACTTGCCATATCGGGACGCTACCTTGTATCACATCCCAAAATGGACACTGGTCATGATCACAGCACATGGACGCACCTGAACATCACAGCATCACTGATTATCAAACCCGAGCCACCCCCTGGGGTACCTCGGGTTTCTTTGACTTGATCATCCACATACCGCCCGCTACTAATAAATCTAGCAATAATTCCGCCTCTTCCCTTATGTAGAAGGAGCTCCCTCCCCCCTCCTCTGCAGTACACAAGTCCAGAGCGCCCACCCCCGGCTCCGGCAACGTCCGGGCGTTGATATCAGCCACATGGTCGGCTGATGCGGCGCCCCAGGGCGCTCCCCCTTCGGCAGCTGATGTCCGGGCGCCCCCGCCGCCCCGCCCGGCGCTCCCCTCTCCCAAACGCCCGTCGGCATCGTTGCCCACGATGAGCTCGAGTGCCGCCGCCCCCCGCTTCATTTCCCGTCCGTTTTACTTCGTTCTTTTTGTAAACCAGCTATACTAAGGCTTATATACCCATCTATACAGTCTATAAAGCTATCAGTATAAGAGTACATCCACAGTACACTAAGGGGAGGGGGACGGCGGCTCATCTTATCTATAGATAGATCTGTACCCGATAACGAAGTGATAGCGATATCGCGCCCTTGCGTGAGATCGCGATCTCATCGCCCGACCGCCTCCGCGCCTTTCTCGCGTATGTAGATGATGCTTCCCACGCCATCCTCCCTTCGCCAAGGCTCGCCACCGCCGTTCCTCCCTCTCCTCCCTCTCTTCCCTGCTCGTCGACGGGGTAATGGCACTAACGGCGAGCACTGTAGGTGGCCCGGGTTCTCTGCATCTCCCCACGCGGAGGGCGGAGGGCGGAGGCGGGCGCATCGTGCACCTCCCCGCGGTGCGGTTACGCGATCACCGACGCCCCCGGAGGCACCAGTACTCCGCTACGATTGAGATCTCGGCTCCTTCGTCCGACCCCTGCGCCTGCGAAGACTAGGAAGGAACGTGAGCATAACCGAGGACAAGGTAGGATCCGAATACGTGCAGAAGGAGATGCGGGTCAGATACGCAGGGAGCATTTTAAAGTAGCGGACGCGAGGGGATTTGCGCCAGCAGTCGTCTCTCCGCTGCCCACCGCACGCCCTCAGCTTCCCGCACTCCCTCTCTGCGGCCGCCCTCTCCCCGCAGCTCGCTTGCGTGCACTGTACACTCCGTAGCCCACCAATACCAGCTCTTTCCACCCGCTACCTCCCGAGATGTCTGTCCCTTGGCCGGTTCAGGTTGACATCGTCGCGGCGTTTTCGCTGCTCGGTTTCGTTCTGGTGTGCATCCCCCTCTACTGGCACTTGGAAGCATGGAACGTCGGCTGCGTCATGTACATTTTCTGGATCGGCACCCAGTCGCTTTTCCAGTTCATCAACGCCGTGGTCTGGCGCGATAACGCGATCAACTGGGCCCCTGCTTGGTGCGATATCAGTGAGTGCCTCCCCCTACATAGTCGAGGCCGCGCAGAGCTGACGGCCTTTCCAGCCACGCACTTCAGCATCGGGACCAGCATCGCGGTCTGTTGCGCGTCGCTCGTCATTAACCGCCGTCTGTACCACATCGCGAACATCACCGCGGTGTCGATGACCCAGGCGGACAAGCGCCGCAACATCATCACCGACCTTCTCATCGGCATGGGTATCCCGGTCCTCTCGATCGCCCTCTGTAAGCCCTCCTTCCCCGCGCCGCTACCGCATCGTTTACTGATAGCGCGCGCAGACTGGTTCTACCAGGGCCACCGCTTTGACATTCTTGAGGGCGTTGGCTGCGTCGAGGAGTACCCGAACTCCTTCCTCGCATACCTCCTCTTCATCACCTGGCCCATCCCCATCGGCCTCGTGTCTGGAACCTACTGCAGTGCGTATCCTGTGCAATCTGTACTTCGAATACACCAAGCTAACGCTTCTTCAGTCCTCACCCTCCGCGCGTTCTTCCGCCGCCGCCGCGACTTCAGCGCGCTCATCGCCTCGAACTCGAACCTCACCTTCAACCGCTACTTCCGGCTGATGGGCCTCGCCGCGATCGAGGTGCTCTGCACGGTCCCGCTCGCGACGTACAACCTCGTCGCGGACGCGACGCAGCCGATCTACCCGTACGTCGGCATGGCGGACCTCCACTTCGGCTTCTCGCGCGTGAACCAGAAGAGCGCGGTCTCGTGGCGCGCGGACCCCGCCGTCGTGAGCGCGATGGACTTCAAGCGCTGGAACGTGATCGCCTGCGCGCTCGTCTTCTTCTGCTTCTTCGGGCTCGCGGAGGAGGCGCGCAAGCACTACCGCCTCGCGCTCTCCTCGGTCGCGAAGCGCGTCGGGATCACGACGCTGGGCGGGTCCTCTGGGTTCACGGCGACGGGCTCGCGTGGGGGCGCGAGCAAGGGCATGGGCGGCTCGTCGTTTGGGCGCGTCACGATCCCGACGTTCGTGCAGCGCCACACGCGTGCGCGCGCGTCGATGGACAGCTTCTCGGACGGGCTGTCGACGAACATCTCCATTGGCGGCGACCTGGGCATCGACGAGAAGGCGACGTACTCGCCTGTGGAGAGCGCGGCGGAGGGCTCGAGCGTGAACGGGTCGAGCACGTTCCTGGGCTCGCCGATCTCGGAGAAGCAAGTCTCGCCGCTGGAGACGCTCCCGCCGGTGAGCTTCCCGCCTGCGCCGAAGCGCGTGTACGACCCCGAGTCGCCGACGCGCCGCGAGACGGAGCCGGACGTGCCTGCGAGCGTGCGCCCGCATTCTATCGACATGGTCTAATCCACCGTGTCCTCCTTCCTCCTTAATCGACCGGCTTTCTCTCGCCTCGCCTTTCCACAATTCCGCCTCCCAACAATTCCACTTCTCCACAACACACTCTCGCGTCCCCAAAACTATTCGTCCCTCTTACTCCGTTGCGTCGCCCTCCCCATTCGGATCCGCCCTCCCGGATACTGCGTTCAAACCGTTACCCCTCAACTGTATTCCTAGCACTCCCCCCATACCCTTGCATACACCACCCGCTCCTTCGCTAATCGGTATCCTTATCTGTATCTTAGAGTCTCCTGTGTAACACGTCTCGTAGGCTTGTTGTTTGTTGGGCAATAGAACTCCGTTCAGTACCAAATGTTGCTTCTGGTGTGTTCGAGAGGGACATGCGTGTGAGGATCTGAGCTGTAATTAGATGCGCGACAGGTCAGTAGGTGTTCCTTCACCGAGGCGCGAGGATACGGTATGTATCGCGGTATGTCCGTACGTCTGGCCAACGTTGATAGGGTGGGCCTAGAAAACATCTCGAGTCTTACATGGTTCGCTCAGGGGTCTGGAGGTCGTGTCACTACCAGTGGGTCTCGTAGGTACGTAGTCATTGAACTGGATCCGTTCGGCCTTTCGAAAACGGAGGTAGAGCGGACGGCGATAGCGCACTCCCGTGTTCCGTAACTCTTCTTCTTCCTGTCCATGCCGTCCTTCTTCCCTGCAATTCTGACGTCGCGCTCGCAGCGCACATAGCCGTATTGTATGCACCCATCGGCCTAACGAACGCCACCATAGGCTGAATGGCCGGATGACCGATGCCAACCGGGCCTCAGGCTCGTGAGGGAAATGACTGGCGACTGACCGCGATTTGTCAGACTCGTCCGCCGCGATGATTGGCCTCTCCCAAAAACGTCGGGAATTGTCCCATGGCCTGGCATGGATGCGCCCGGGGCAATCGATGGACGTATATAACACGGAGACGTGGAGGGGCGGCGGAGTCAGGCTGACGGACAGTGCCACCAGCGAACTCGACCGTCTCCAGAAAGCTCCGAGGCTTGCGTTTGGACGCCCACCACCCAGGCTCAAAACCCCCCGCCGACCCGCTGCTGCTTTCCTCACTAGACCCCGATCCCCTGCTTTGCACCGACGCTTAGACTGAGCTCCGCGCTACCCTTTGGCATGTCTGAGAAATGTAGCAGCCCGAGTGATTTGGAGGGGAAACACCAGAAGGACGGCACTATCACGCCGGTGTCGAGAGTCACGACAGTGACCTCCACCGATCTTTTTGAGGATGGGACGGTCGACCCCGTCTACCAGGCCAAGGCCCGAGTCCTCAACGCTGCGATACAGGAGATTGGGATGGGCAAATACCAGGTGAGTGTGCTCGTGTGAGAGATGTGCGCATGTACCCTAACCTCGACATTGCCGCACAGTGGGGGCTATTTGCCGTTGCAGGATTCGGGTGGTTCGCGTACGTTCTTTTCCTATACGAGTGTGCTCGCCGATCACTGACTGTTCTGCAGTGACAGCGTCTGGCCGGTGAGCGTCCTGATCGAGGACCCACAAATGCATGGTGCTGATCTCGCGCGAATCTTAGCTTCTCGGAGGCCTCATCCTGAGCCCCGTGGTCAACGAGTTTCATTTCAACGGGCCTTTCCTCTCGCTCGCGCTCAACATTGGTCTCTTCGTCGGCGCCGTCTTCTGGGGGCTCGGATGTGACGTCTGGGGTCGCCGGTGGTCCTTCAATATTACCCTCTTCCTCGCAGGCGTCTTCGGACTCGCGGCAGGGGGCTCGCCCGACTTCATCACCCTCGCGTCGCTCCTCGCCGTCCTTGGACTTGGCGTCGGAGGCAACCTCCCCGTAGACTCGGCCGTATTCCTCGACTTCGTGCCCGGAAGCCACCAGTATCTGCTCACGATTCTCTCGATATGGTGGTCTGTAGGCCAACTCGTCGCCAGCTTCGTGCGTTTCCCCTCATTCTCCAACGTTCGAGCGTATCTGACCAAAACGTTGCAACCATAGATCGCATGGCCGCTCATCGCGAACTTCTCTTGCCCGCAGGGTTCCACGACGTGCACTCGCGGTGAGAACATGGGCTGGCGCTACCTCCTCTTCACCCTGGGCGGAATGACGATCATCTTGTGGGCGATCCGCCTCTTCGTCTTCCCGCTCTACGAGAGCCCGCGCTTCCTCGTCGGTATTGGCCGCGATGCGGAGGCCGTTGAGGTCGTGCATCGTATCGCGGCTTACAACGGGCGCACGTCGAACCTCAGCCTGTTGGATCTGCAGGCGGCGGCGGTGGCGGTTGGCGGGCAGAAGAGCGAAGGGGAGACGAAGCTGCTGAGCCGGAGCTCGGTTTTCACAATGGACCATATCAAGGGCTTGTTTGCGACGCCGAAGCTCGCGTGGTCGACGAGTCTGCTCATCTTTCTCTGGGGTACGTTGGGCTACCTGGGGCTGCGCGCAGAGTGCTGATGCTGTCCGGCTTTGACAGGTATAATCGGTCTCGCTTCTACACTCTACAACAGCTTCTTGCCGTTCTTGTCAGTATGCTGCCTTCTTCATATTGTCCAAGGTTAACTTACCACTGCACGATCCAGACTAGCGAGTCGCGGCGCACAGTTCGGCGATAGCTCCTACTTCACGACCTACCGTAACGTTCGTCCCTTCTCTTTTCCTCCCGATCCACGCCATCTGACCTCCCCCCCTACCCAACAGCAAGTAATCCTGGGCGTAATCGGCGTCCCGGGTGCCTTCCTCGCCGGGTGGGCCGTCGAACAGCCGTACGTCGGGCGCAAAGGCACGCTGGCGCTCTCCGCGGGCGAGTATCTCGTTCTCTGCACGCGGTGGCATTACTCAACGACCCCCTGCGGAAGATAGGGCTCACTGGTGTCTTTTTGTTCGCGTCGACCACCGCGCGGAGCAGCAACGCGCTCCTCGGGTGGAACTGCGGGTACGCGTTTTGTAGCAACGTGAGTCCGAGTCACATATCATCCTGCGATGCTGGGTGGATATATGCTGAGGGGGTGGCGCAGATCATGTACGGTGTGTTGTACGCGCTCTCGCCCGAGGTCTTCCCGGCGAAAGACCGCGGGACAGGTAACGGCCTCACCGCAACCGCCACGCGCGTCTTTGGCATCATTGTGCGCCGCCCCTTCTTATCCTTCTCCCTTGCGATGCTGATGTTGCACAGGCGCCGGTCATCGCGCTCTACGCGAACCTCGAGACTGCCGTACCGGTGTACGTCTCGGGCGCGCTGATAATCGGCGCAGGGTTCCTCGCGCTGCTGCTCCCGTACGAGCCCAGGGGCAAGGCGTCCATCTGAGCTCGCTGCTCACCTGGATTGTGCGCCCGTGCTCAGTCCCCTTCTAGAGGGAGAGGCGCTCGCGGTTTTCAAGACTTATAATTCATGATAAACGAATGGAATAGAGGTAAGGTTTTGGCGTGGTTCTGTGCTGTAGCACTCTTTCTCTCTTGAGAACAGACTTGTGCGGTTTCGGACGTAGTGCTAGAATCTGTAGCTCCTGCTGTCATGTACTAGCAATGTAATGATCGGTTTGTGGTTTGTGTACTGTTTTGGCATTTGCGATGAGCGCAGCGATCTGCAAGAGTTGGCGCATCGGTAGATGTGTTTCCGAAGCGTTGGTCTTTGCGAACGTACCAGGGTTCGTATCGATACAGTGAAAATACAGCAACATGTACAAATCTCCACCTCCGACGGGGATATCCTTAGCCGACCTTGGCCTCCACTGTTTTCCCCTCTTTCGCTTCCTTCTCGCGCAGCTCTCGTCGCCGCTTCACGTCCCAGTTGTACACGCGCGCCGTGTTGACCTCCATGACGGTGATCTGCTCTCGGAGGAACTCGAGATCCTCTATCACTGTCGCGAGGCTGCTTTGTGCGGAGTCGAGCTTCGATCGCAGTAATGCTACGGCTGCTGGTAGCTTGTATGAAAGCATAACGTTGGCCTGGTGAATGTTGTCAGTCTGCGACATATGGTGCAGTAGAACGCGAAACGCACGCCTAGCCATAGGAAGACCGTGTCGGTGTCCTCGAGCTCGGCCTCGGCGTATAAGGTATCGTTCAGTTCGTACGTCGTTACCAGAGGTTTCGTGGAGCTACTGTCGTCTTCAAGATCTTCATCATCCAGGTCGTCGCGGTCACTGTCGGACGCGGACTTTCCCTCCTGCGAGGAACGGCAACTCGGAAGTAAGTCATGGGCTGTTACGTCGCAGAGCTAGAGACGCACTCTTCGCTCCTGGAGGAACTCGACCATTGCAAGCGTCTTTTTGATGTCCGGGATCTTCTCTTCCAAACCTCGCCGCCGTTGTGTCAAGTTTTGGTCCATGTAACGGTACTTTCTATCATGAGTGACATGTACCCTAGGTCAGCGATCGCGTGCGCGCATCAATCATATAACGGGACGTACGCTAGTGCTGCTTGGAACTCTTTCAATGCCTCCTCCGGGCTTGGGGAAGGCCCGAGGAACTCTGCAACATCTGCCTAAAGTCCCGCACGTTAACGCTGCGTTCCCCACCGATGCTGCTGGAGTATACGCACGATGAACGGCGCTTTCGGAATTCCGCGCGGGTTGCGTTCTTGTTTTTCGGTTGCTAGCTTAGACATTGCTCGGACGGGAGACAGCAGACCAATGCAGAGACGGAGGAATAGGAAACAATGTGCGGATCGCTGTTTGCCCGCGAGCGCGAAGTAATAGATAGGCGCCGTCTTCGGCGTCTAATTGCCATTCGATCGGCGCTTGAAATGGGCATATAAGACAGCACTTTTTCATGACGCCCTTTTTTCAAACCTCCCTCCTCTTCCCTCCTGCCCCGACGCCAATCCATCGTTCGACTAGACAGCAATGTCTCGTCTGATTGTGAAAAACCTACCGGCCTACCTCACACAAGAGCGGCTCCGCAAATATTTCGAATCCTCCGATGGTCCTGGGGGAACCCTTACAGATGTGAAACTCATGCTGAAGCGCGACGGGACGTCGCGTTGCTTCGGGTTCATCGGCTATAAGTCTTCGCAAGAGGCGGAGCGTGCACAGAAGTGGTTTAACAGGACGTTCGTCGATTCATCCAGGATAATGGTCGACATTGTTGAGGTGCGTTTAGCTATCTTCCCTCTCTACGCGCGTGAATACTGACACCTCCCATAAAGGGTGCCAAGAACGCACCTGCACCACGCCCGAACAAGCGTCCTCGGCTCGGTCCTTCACCGGGAGAGGTGGATGAGCCGAAGGTCGCGAAGAAATCCTCTTCGAAGGACAAGTCGCAGGGTGCTGGTGACGCACTAGCAACTGAGTTCCTTCAGGTCATGCAGCCTCGCTCGCAGAAGGGACCGTCGTGGAAGGACGAGGAACCTGCTCAGGAGCCGGTCGCTTCTTCTTCGACGTCCGCTAACTCCGCAGACAAGCCTCTGAAGAAGAGCAAGAAGTCCAAGACCCAGCCCGATCATGTAGATGGCGTGACCGAGGACCAGGAACCCGTTACAGCGACAGAGCCCGTGTCCGACCTGGACTGGCTGAAAAGGCATACGAAGACGGCTGTTGCCGACGTCGAGGCGAACGAGAAGGCGTTCGAGCAGTCCGACGACGAGCCTATGCAAGACGCTGATAGTGACGATGAGGAGCAGGAGGTGATCTCGTCTTCTTTTGTCATACTCGCAAGTACTGACGTCGCTCTTCCAGACACCTGCCCAGCCTCACTTGGACCCCATACATGCGAGCATCTTGCAAACATCGCGACTCTTCATTCGAAATCTGCCGTTCACGTGTACCGAGGATGAGCTTAGAGAGCTCTTCCAGCGTTACGGAGATGTATCTCAGGTGAGCATGCTTTCTATCTGGCCGCGCCTAGTCCATGTGGACGGCGACATCCGAAGACGTGAGGAAGTGGAGGCTATAAGATGATAAGCTTATTTAGGGACATCAGACTCGCTTGCGAGAGTGTTGATCCTCAGGGAAAACCGATAGTAGAAACATATTCTGAACTTTGCCCTCTCCTCGCGTCCTCGTCGTTGTGATGCATGAACCAGTTGCTGATCATCATCGTCAACAGGCTCACCTCATACTGGACCCCGCAACAAAGCAGTCGAAGGGCCTCGCGTATATATCATATGCGAATCCTGACTCTGCGCTGGGGGCCTACGAAGCCTTGGACAAGACGTCTTTCCAGGGTCGTTTGCTTCATATCCTCCCTGCTGTGGACCGTAGGGGTAAAGAGGCAGACGCTGAGGGTGAGGGGAAGAAGAAGACGCTGAAGCAGGACCGGGAAGGGAAGCGTAAGGCGATGGCAGGGAAGGAGTTCAATTGGGCTATGTTGTATATGAATGTACGTACATATATGCTAGCAATATATTTGTCCATGCAGGGTCCTCATACGCTGTTTGTTAGAGCGACGCGGTGGTTTCCTCGGTCGCTGACCGCATGAACGTCTCGAAAGCCGACATTCTTAACCCAGAATCCGACAACGCTGCTGTCAAGCTCGCGCTAGCCGAGACGCACGTAATCCAAGAGACGAAGACGTTCCTCGAGCAGCACGGCGTCGATCTCGCGGCGCTGGACACGACTGGTTCAAAACGGCCGGCGCGTTCAGACCGCATCATCCTCGTCAAGAACATCCCGTACGGCACGTCTGCGGCTGACGTGCGTGCGTTGTTCGAGCCACACGGGGAGCTCCGGCGTGTCCTCGTCCCTCCCGCCGGCACGCTCGCCGTCGTCGAGTTCACCCATGCGGACGACGGACGCAAGGCGTTCCGCGCAGTCGCATACCGGCGACTGGGCAACTCGGTCGTCTACCTGGAGAAGGGCCCCGACGGCATGTTCATCACCGACGAACCCATGACCGACGCCGCAGAGCCCATCACCGCAACAGGTTCCGCCCCCATCGCGGCGCCAGACGCGGCAGTGGCGGAGGCGAAGGCGGGCGCGGACGAGCCGGCACTGAGCGCGGGCACGACGCTGTTCGTGAAGAACCTCGCATTCAGCACGACCGCGGAGAAGCTCGTGGCAGTCATGCAGCACCTGCCGGAGTACGCGTTTGCGCGCGTGCAGACGAAGCCAGATCCTGCGCGCCCGGGCGCACGGCTCAGCATGGGGTACGGGTTCGTCGGGTTCCACACGACGGACGGCGCGAAGCGCGGCCTGAAGAGCATCGACGGGATGGTCCTCGACGGGCACAAGCTCTCCGCGAAATGGGCCGGGCGCGGCGCGGAGGAGGCGGACGGCGCGGCGGACAAGGAGACGGTCAAGGCGCGCACGACGAAGATGATCGTAAAGAACGTCCCGTTCGAGGCGACGAAGAAGGATATCCGCGAATTGTTTGGGTGCGTAGATTTGCCCCCTCATGTGTCTATCTGGCCAGGTTTTCTGACAGGTTTATCCCGGATAGTGCGCATGCGCAGCTCAAGTCCGTACGTGTGCCTCGCAAGTTCGACCACCGCACGCGCGGTTTCGCGTTTCTCGAGTTCACGACGCGGCACGAGGCGGAGCGCGCATACGCCACGCTCCGGCACACGCATTTCCTCGGACGCCATCTGGTGCTCGAGTGGGCCGAGGAGGGCGAAGTGGACGTGGACAAGTTGCGCGAGAAGGCTGGAGTCGCATTCGGTGGAGGCGCGGAGATGCCTGGGCGGAAGCGGAAGCTGGATATGGGCGGCGATGGGGACGACGAGGGCGAGGTCGATATGTGAGGGGCCTTCGTGCGGCATTATTGGTTACGATGATGGTGCTGTCCGTAATCTCTTGGCTTGTATGAAAGCCGCTGAACGGAGACAGTGTCGCGTGTGATGTTTTCCAGACCGGTGGGTGAGCTGAACGACGTTATGGGCAGTTCGCTTATACAGCTGGTAAAGAATCGATAGGCCGTTTTCCTGATCGCTCGCCTCGGAGCTTTTGTTTACCTGTGGGGCCGTACAAACAGGCGGCATATGTCGGCGCACCCAAATCAGGCAGGCTTACGGCGCTGGGCTCCGACAACGCTGATGAGAGCCACAACGACCGCCCGAGCGGCCTCAACCATTGGCTCAGGGGTGTTTGTTCGGCCCCACATGGTAAACAAGGCCCCAAAGGTGAGCGGCCGAAAAAACGGCCTATCGTTTCTTTACCAGCTGTACAAGGACCTCCCGCAGATGCGTCTAGTGTCTCTCTGTCAATGTATGCAAGCCCTTGCTACGATTCCTTACTGGACGTTTTGCTCGCACGATGAAGCGCATACATGAGCTCATATTGCGGGGTTATGTGAATCAGTGTCCAACTTCGGCTATCACACGGTCAAAGTTTCTTAAGTGTCCACAAACGACAGACTTTAGTGCTGGCTGTCCGGTCAATCCATTCCGGTGAGCGTCTCATCATTTTGCTCCCCACAACTCAAATGCTCTGAATAGTACCGACGACCCAGGGGACCTCCAGGGTTTCGCACGACGTCGGTATAGCTTGTGCATGTGAACCCCAGTTCTCACGCCGCGGCGAAGTGAGTGCAGTATATATACGAGATGGCATGCACGCAGCTTGCGACAGCGCTTCCCTTCCCGTTGCCATAAACTCTGCTTAACCATGGCCGCACCGTACACGGGACCTCTCCATGTGCTGCAAGATTCGGGGGTTCCAGGAGATTGCACAAACTACACTACAGTCGTAATCGTTCATGGTTACGCCTGGCACGGTGGTCAGTATACGTCCCCAAGTTTTCTAGGGAATCCTTCTCACAATTGTCCTCGTTATCCAGGTATCTTCTCGAAGCTCGTACCTTTGGCGGAGTCGCACAGCGTGCGCATCATCTTGCTCAATCGCCGCGACTACACCGGTAGCCTCCCGTACACCGAAGCCGAGCGTGCGCTCCTCACCGTCCTCTCACCGGAGATAATGAGCAATGCCGCTGAGGCAGCAACCGCGAAGAAGAACGCCGCGACCTTCATGCAGGATCGCGCGCGGGAACTGTACGACTTTCTGGTTCAGCTCGTGAAGAACAGCAATCTTCCTCTCCTGGACCGCGGTACGAACAAGGGAGGCATCGTGCTCGCCGGATGGTCGTTCGGTACCCTTTGGATGACCGCCCTCCTTGCCTATGTTGCATTATTCCCTGTCGACGATGTCAGGTTGAGTGACTATATGCGCAGTGTCACGTTTCTCGGTATGTTTGCTCCCTAGCTCTCATTTGCTGAGTACAAGACTAACTCACCTATAGACCCGCCCTATCTGGCCTTCGGATATCCTCCCCCCGACAACCAGTACAATCCGCTTTTCGACGCCGATATCCCCCTGAATGACCGGGAGAAAGCGTTCACGAACTGGGTGAGCGGGTACTACGTCCACGGAGACACCCCCGAGACACTAGAACTCAAGACACCGCTCCAAAGCCCTCCGCCTACGCTGTCGACTCTCACGCCTGAGGAGATCGGGCGTACGCTATGCCTTCCTCCCGGCGGTCCAGGAGGTTCGGACTCAATGCTGCTGGACTTGGGCCTCAAGCTTGGACTTTTCTCCTCCTTGAGAGAGGGCGGGCTGTACATGCCGAAGGAGGGACAATCGGGAGATGCCTGGGACAGCGTGGAGGTACGCTATATTTCGTGCGAGCGCTCTGTGTGGGAGATGCCGTGGGGAACCTCGCTCTTGAGGAAAGAGATGGAGGCGGCGCAAGAACAAAGCCTGCCGATGCGAACCATACGGTTCGTGTTTGTCAAGGGTGCAAATCATTTCGTGGGTTTTGATCTTTCTAGTTTCCGCAGGCGTGGATTCATTTCATTGACCATTATGTTTGTCAGGTACACTGGGATCAACCCGAGCTGGCTTTACGTGCTCTGATAGGCGACCGAGATGTAGTATCATAAGCAGTTCTCTATTCTATTCACTCTCACAGCCCCAGTTCGACACAGTTGGTGCAGGCAGTCTCCCAACAGCAATACGAGTCGAGTGAATTTCACCCATCCGCCCTAGGTCTGATTTATGTCTCTTTAGTCCTCTTTGGACACTCATAGACTCCCTCATAGAAGATCGCAACAGCAAGCGTCAAACCAGATAGCCAGACAGTGCTCCATTCAAATTGGCTGATCCGTCGTTGAAATTCAGCGCGTAAACGCGTCCGCCCAACACGGTCACGCATATTCGCGTAGATGAATGCCGCCCGTGCTCTTACATAACAAGCGACGGTCACCGGGCCAGCGAGCACTGAGTTTGCATTATTCTTGTGCTCTACCACGACTACAACATCATGGCCACCACGCATGCAATTCGGCAGGTCATCTTCGAGATTCCTGCTGATGTGCCATACTTCGAGAACGAGGATACCCTCGTTCATGAAAGACATTCTTGCACCACGGACTACCACGTCTTTCCGCCGCCGCAGGAGCAGTACATTGCCTGTTCATTGCATCTTGAAAAGAAACCCTTCGAGTCGCTCGCAACTGCGCTTGAAGATGGGGACGGCGAGAAGATCATTGACCTGGGACTGCGGTGAGTGGCTATTGCAACGAACACAAAGGAAATTATGTCCCTCATAAAAGTTTGTACAGATACTACTCAGGCTGCACAGTAGAAAGAAACATCGAGCGCGCTATCGACACATGGGAGGCGATCACCAATTTCAAGCATAGGTTCTCCGTCCCAGAGGAGAAACTGACCGCGAACATCCTCGGGCAAGCGTACTCCTGCCTCGCCGACGCTCACCTGTGTCTGGTCCACGCTGCATTCGAAGGCAGGACCGTCTCTCGCATCCACCCCAAAACCGACCGCATGCTCCCCGAAGGAACGCGCGACGAGATCATGGCGAACGACTTCATGCTGCTCGCCGCAACATACGCGGACGCCGCGGTCGGCTACGGCGTCGTGACTCAAGCCGTCCTCGGCGTCGCGCGCTATCTCGTCCGCGGAGCCGAGCGGAACAAGATCGAAATCCGCACCACGGAGCGCTATAAGCCATTCAAAGACCTGTGGCACGCGTTCGACGTGCGTGAAGTGGAGCTTGCGGAGGACCGTGCCAAGCGCGACGCGAAGGTCTCGCGCGCGCCCAACGCATACACCTGCGCCGCGCCCGGCTGCGGTTTGATCGCGGGCAAGAAGAAGAGCTTCATGAGGTGCGCTGGAAAGTGCCCCCCAGAACGCAAGCCCCATTACTGCAGCAAGGACTGCCAGCGCCGGGTGCGTCGTGTCTCCGCGCGCTTGTCCTGCATGCGTGCTAACCTGATCTTGCAGGACTGGCGGTCTCACAAACCGTACTGCAAGCCTGACGCGCAGCTAGACAGGCCGCTGCCTTGGGGCGACTCGGAAGACGTACAGACGGGCCTGGACGTGGTCCCGTTCGTCGACCTCAAAGCGCCGGTGTCGAACGAGGAGGGCCCCGACCGTGCGGTCGAAATCCCGCTCCCGGGGCGTCCAGGCGAGACCGTCACGTTCTACTCGCAGCACCTCACCCCCGACATCATGCGGTACATGCGCGACTCCATGGAGGAGCGTCGCGCTGGAAGGCAAGCGCGCGCGCCGAACTTGGAAGCGGCGGCCACCGAGGACGAACAGCCTTGAGTGCGCGCGTCCACGGATGGATATATGAGAGTGGCGGTAGCCCGGTGGCTGCGCACGGCGACGTTGTTGTGGAGGATGTACATGTTGTGCCTCGGCTAGCGGTGCGGATCGTGTCCGGGCATTGGGAAGACTGGCGCCTGTGCCTCATGGGCCGGGCCCCTTGTGACAGTTTGTTGACACCGGTCGTACACGCTTTGTGTGTACCTGTTCTGTTGGATAGATTGCCCTGCAACGCGATGGATAAAGTGGCCAATGACTCCTGAATATTTTACATGAGTGTCTGTTAATACATATGCAATAGTGCCGTGAATGTATAATGATATTGTTCTTGCGAGGATCCACGGCGAATGATTCTGGACGTGTTGTGGAAGCTATACTCGTGCGAATAGGTCTGGGTTGATCCTCAGCTTCGAGGCCAGCATGAACAGGGAGCCAACCATGACGCTGACGCCGCTCAAAACGATGAGGCCCGTATATGAGCCGTGGCATACTCTCAAGAGAGCACCCGCCGTAGGGTTGCCAATGAGGGATCTGTTTGTATGAGAGATCAGTCGAGGTTCATAGTCTCGAGGTTTAGAGACTTACGGGAAGGAGATGATGCTGTACAGCAGTCCGATCCTCATCCCAATCTCCCTGATGTCCGAGATCTGTGCGATGCACGGCACAATCAGCGCGTTGAACGCGCCTGAGAACAGGCCGTACATCGCCGCGTACACCAGGAGCTGCGGCAGTGTATGGGCGGTCGACCACAATAGGAGCGTGGAGAGGCCTGCGAGGAACGCGCAAGGGACGAGGAGGGTGAAACGCCCGAAGGCGTCGGCGAAGTGTGCGGGGGCGATGCGTCCGAGCACGCTCGCAAGATTGAGCAGGGCGAGAACATAGAACGCAGTGGTCGGATCTACGTTGTGGTCGGTCGCGTAGGAAACGATGAAGCAGAATGGCGTGAAGAGACCTGTACGGATCGGTGGCCCACAGATGAGTGGCATGCGCGGATGTGGTACGAGCGTGTGGCGTACCTAGTGACACGAAACAGCTTCCTATCACGAGAAGGGAGAAGCGGGCATCCTTGAGCGCGCGGAGGTTGAACCAAGGCTTCTCCGTCTCAACCTTCCCGGGGGCGATGCGGCTGGTCACGGTCGCCGTGGCCGTGGCACAGAGTACCAAGCAGATGACGGCTGAAATTTGCAGGCCGCGCGCGAAGCCAACGTGGGCGAACAGATATTGCAGCAACACAGGGTAGACGGTGCCGCCTGTCGAAACGGGAGAAGGTCAATTCTCCGATATGTCCGCTAGACGGCCAACTATGCTCACCTAAGCCGGAGCCAACCATCGCAATCCCGAGCGCGGTCGCTCTGTACTTGTTGAAGTGGGTAGAAATCGATGCCAACGGCGGGTAGAATCTGTTCGAGCGGCGCGATGCTGATCAGGGCGATGCGGTGAAGTTCGCAGTAAGGGCGCTACGCACAGCATGCCTACGCCAAGTCCGGACAAGACGCCTTGCGCAAGGATGTATTGCGGGTAGGAGCACGCGATGCTGGTCAGCAGGATGCTTGCGACATACACCGTGGTGCCGAGCGCCATGATGGCGCGCGGGCCGTACATGTCGAACATGCGGCCGATGAAACCTCCCTGGAGAGCAAACGCCGGTGAGAAGGGCGGACGGTATACGCGAGGCCGATCGGAGAGGGCACGTACGGAGAAGAAAAATACCCAGAGCTGGACCGATCCGATCCAGGCGACGGTGGAGGGGTGCATGTCTTGCAGCTGGTGGGTGGTGTACCACGACTGGTATGTCCCGAACGCATTCATCTGGCCAAAGGAGCAGGATAGGGCGAGGAAGGCTCCGAAGACGGTGAGCCAGGCCGCTAGGCCGCCGTCTAGGAAATCCGTCACTTCGTCCTTTGCCGGACCGTCTTCAGCTAGGGATTCCGGTACATGGCGAGTGACGGATCCATAATTTGGCAGATCCCGTAACGATGCTATGGGGAAGGTCGCCATTGTTGACTCGAAAAAGGAACGACTGATAGTGGCAAGGCCCGGTAGGAGGATGTGCAGGACTCGGAGGTGAGTAGAGAATGAGACTTCCACAAAGGCATTTTAAGGGAGATCCTTGTCCGTGCATTACGGCTGATGCATACGCACGGAGGCGTGCTCGTCTGCCCGGTATGAAAATCGTGCCGTACAGTGCTAGGCGAGGCCCTAAACATGCTATATCAATCGCGGGTCCCTCTCGGACGGACGGATCGGCGCCACGGTGCCTTTCCGAAGGCAGGTCGGACTGACAGGAAACCACTCATCCGTGAAACACACCGGATGGGCGTACTGCTTGGTAAAGGGGGCATCGAGAACGCAAAAGATGGTCGGCGCCTGCGTATTGCTCCGTGACAGTCGGCGCCCTCGAGCACAGCATCGGAGCGAGGAATTGGATGCCAGTTTTTATTGCTCCAGTCTAGATCCCGACGACGGATCTGGGCCATCATCGGGACCTGGACAAGATGCGCAACGAATCTCGGTCGAAGAGGAATTTTGGTGACCTTAGAGGAAGACGGGGGATTTAGCTGAGCGACTCTGGTAGACCGATAGGCGCACCATCACGAGGCCAAGTGAGATGCCGAGGAGGCGCTGTAGGGGAACGGATTTCTCGCTCGAACTTCCGAGAGGGATGCGTGACTCAAAGACGATGGTCCGATCAGTAGACCACGATATTCTACGGCATCTCAGGACGGAGGTCAACGGCGGCTCAAAAAAATTCAGAGCGGCCTTGACATGCGTGTGAGCGCCCCATGGCGCTACGAAGATACTCGCACCGGGGCCGAGGAAGACGCGCATCCAGCTCGAATGAGAACACCGACGAGCATTCAGCAGCTCAAACTCCGCGACAGACTGCCAGTGCTGTTGAACATTAAATGGTAGCATGCTCTCAAAAGATCTGATAGAGAACCGTGCTGCTGCAAACGTACCTGAAGGTCCCGGTCCGGTTTCTTCAGAGGCGCGGACAGACGTCCTCGGGACCTCATGACCTTCCGGCCGTGGCAATCCCCGGAATGCGGGGCTACCGTGTGAGCTTACCATTGACTGAACTCCACTACAAGCGCCGACAAGTGGAACACTACGCCATAAGTGTAAAATCGGGCTGATGTGCGGTACAGTTTCTGAGGGAGAGGAAAGGTCATGGCGTCGCGTAGCGCTTGCTCTAAGGGTATATAGGCGCCCGTAGGCTTCGGAGTGGTTGTTTGGGTGTGTTAGGATTCAAAGCTCTTGCTAAACAGTAGCAAACAACGCCTACGCGTCCTCCGAATGTGATCGAGGTAGACGCGTAATTGCCATCCTCCTCCCGCATTTACGTCCCACACATCTACGTTCAGCACCATGGCGACTCCAATGTCAATTGACAAGGCGAAAGGCCCCAAGCTCGATGTGGACGAATTCCTGACGTTGGCGATCTCGGAGACACCGCAGGAGCTGCACGCGTTCTTTGAGTCCTTCCGGTCATTACACAGCCGTAAGTCTGTATCAAGTTCCTTTCATGCTATTTAACCCCTCGACTGACCGTGTAATAGACTGTGGCACCAACTGACCAACAAGCTCTTCGAATTCTTCGATCACTCGCTCTCCAAACCTTACTGCGTGGATGTCTTCAACAAGTTCGTGCGGGACTTCGAGTCTAGGCTCAACCAGTTGCGACTGGTAGAAATGGGTGTGAAGGTGTCAAAAGAGATTGACAGTGAGTCTGTATCACACAAGCCTACCGCTGCGGTGAAACTGACCAGGAGGCCGCAAGACCCCGTCACCCACCTGCAGTTCTTGACGGACCTTCTTGAACGGGTGAACACTGAGAAGTCCCCTGAGGCACACGTCCTCCTCCTGTCCTCTCTTGCGCACGCGAAGCTTCTGTATGGGGACCATGAGGGAACAAAGAACGACATCGATGCGGCATGGAAGGTACTGGACGAGCTGTCAAGCGTCGACCCTTCCGTCAACGCGGCATATTATGGGGTCGCTGCGGACTACTACAAGGTGGGATGCGTGTGTGTACACCTCTGGTAATGATTGCTCACGGTTCCTGACTGCGTTACAGTCGAAGGCGGAGTACGCACCATACTACAAGAACTCCCTCCTATACCTTGCGTGCATCGACCCCGCAAAGGACTTGACGGCCGAGGAGCGTCTGCTTCGCGCGCACGACCTCGGCATTGCTGCCTTCTTAGGAGACACGATCTACAATTTCGGCGAACTGGTACACCGTCAATCATACTTCCCATATCCGGACACGCCGCTCATTATGCTCGACCACAGCTCATGCATCCCATCCTTGATGCGCTTGATAGCACACCGCACGAGTGGATCAAGAAGCTGCTGTTCACCTTCAATGAGGGCAACATCGGCAAATTCGAGGCACTCTCCCCCCTCTTCCCGAAGGAGGTGCGTAACTCCATGTCGCTTGATATCGCCTTGAGCTTAGACTGATCGTGATATGCTCGCGCAGCCGATCCTGCAAGAAAACTACCCGTTCCTGCGACAGAAGATCTGTCTTATGGCACTCATCGAGTCCGTGTTCAAGCGAGGCGCGTATGACAGAACTATGTCGTTCCAGACCATCGCCGAGGAGACGCATTTGCCCCTGGACGAGGTCGAGCATCTGGTAATGAAAGCGCTGAGGTATGCACGTTTGACTGTATGCGTTCGTCGGAGTTCTAGTTGCTGAGACCCGTCCGTTCACAGCTTGAAGCTGATCAAGGGCTCGCTGGACCAGGTGGACCAGAAGGCGCAAATCACCTGGGTCCAGCCAAGGGTGCTCTCGAGGGACCAGATCGGGCAGCTTGCGCAGCGTCTCGCCGGGTGGAATGCGAAGTTGCATCAGGTGGAAGAGCGCATTGCCCCGGAGGTCTTGGTGAACAGCTAAACGTTGTAGTCGGAGTACGGTGTATAGTAGCATTTGGACTGTTAATTATCCCGCTTTTCGCATCATACTTGTTTGCGCGTTCTTGCCGAAATGGTGGAACAATTGCCGACAGTTCGTAGTGCTTGGAAGCGGGTGAACTGAGCACTGAGCAGCGGTGCTCGTGGCTGGCGGAGCTTTGTCCGCGACGACCACCACGCGTTCTGCGCATGCCCATCACCACACGTTCCCCATATCACAGGACCCTCAACGTGTTGCTTTTCATTTCTATCTGCTCGGTTCATAACCCGCGGTGACGACAATCCCCAGCCAATTTCTACGCTTGAGCCGCCAGGATATCTGAGACCGCTCGCTCTCTCTCTCCAACAACGATGGCCTCAGCCGCTCCCTCTACGTCCACCATTCCATCCTCGTCGACATTCTCGTTCACCGCACCATTCCCGCCATCACCAACATCATCGCTAGCGAAGCAACGCCGCGTTTCGCTCGCGCTCCCGTCTTCCCCGCGCATCTTCCCCGCATGGAGCTTCCGCGACGACACCGGACTCGGCGTGCACTCTGGCGACCCCGAGGACGACACATCGACTACGTATACACCAGAGAAGAGAGGCAAGATGCGTCGGATTGCGACCGACGAGCTACGTACAGACGGGGAGACCAGTACGAGTCCGCAGCCACACGGGTGCCCGTCTCTACCTGAGAAGAAGCCACGGAAGAAATGGACGATGGAGGAGACACAGATGCTCGTGGCGGGCTGTAATAAGGTGCGTGGCGTCGTTGGTGGGCTTGTATGCGGGTCCTTACACCTGTTCTCGGGTAGTGGGGCGTCGGCAACTGGAAGTCTATCCTCAACGACCCCGACTTCAGGTTCGACGGTCGTTCACCTGTTGACCTCAAAGACCGGTGCGTTTCTAATGTTACGGCTGCCATCGCTCAAGTCAACCCTTGAGGGATGCGCTAGGCATATCTCATTCTCGCTCATTTGGGCCTTGGGGCCCGTGGCGACCATGAAATCATGTATCTACGCATTTCTTAATGGTTGACTTGCACATATGCCCCTTTTGTCCTCGTGCACTCATTTCGCGTATCCTTGCTGTGATCCAGATTCCGCACATACTACCCCGACGCATACAGGCAGCACTATCCCAATGCCAAGACACATCTGTCTACCAAAGTGCGTTCCGCGCTACCGGACGGGTCCTCAATCTTTGAGAAGACGCGGAGCAAGAAACGACGGCCCTTCACCGAAGAGGAAGACCGCGCATTGAAGGCTGGATACGACAAGCACGGCACCGTGTGGGCGACGATCGTCAAGGACCCCATCTTCCAGGCGCAGAATCGGCGGTCGACCGATCTGCGCGACCGTTTCCGCAACGCATTCCCAGACCTATACCAAGCTGCGGGATACAAGCCACGCAACACGACGAAGAAGAAGCGGGATCAGCTCGCGCAGCCGACCCGTGCTGCCACAGACGACTCGCTCGCCACCACTAGTGCCGCAGGTCCCGTCCGCAGGAAACGCCGGAACACAGACCAGGGGATCTTTAGGGGTGGCACGAAGAGCGTGCCCGAGAGCGCGAACGTGTCTGAGGACGAGGAGAGCTCTGACGAGGAGGATGCGCCGTTCCTCAAGGAGGCCTTCACTGCGCCACCTGCTGAGGAAGTCCCTATGACCCCCGACGAGACCTCCCTGGAAGTCGACATGCAGGCGCACGACTCCATCAGCGACTCCGTCACGATCCCTGACTTTAATCCCGGTTCATCCTTCTCCGAGATGACAGACTCGTCGCAGTCCCAGGCGTGGTCCTCGGGCATCGACACCCCTGTTCATTCGAGCGTATGGTCGACCGCCACTAATGCGGCTTCACCTACCTCTTCCCACCTCTCAATCACCGACTACTTCAACAACTCTCCGTTCCCCGGTCGTGCAGATGGCGCCAACCAGATGATCGGGAAGTCCGCGTGGGGGCCCCAGGACTGGCTGTCTGCAAACCCGCGCCTCGAGCCCACATCCAGCAGCTCGTCATACGCCGGTGGATTCTCGCCCGCGCCTTCATCACCATTCTCGTTCGCCCACATGAACCATGGCGTGCTGGACCGCTACGACCTCTTCCCCACATCACTCGCTCACGACTTCGTCTCCGAGGGTGGCGTTGACGACGCACACTCAACCTTCTCTGACCCGGAGATGTTCGCAGCCAGCAGCTACCGAGGCTTCACCCACCACTCAAATTACGCGGGCGACCTCATCTTTGGCAACCGCACACATCAACCGCAACACTCAACGGATTACGGACCTGGCTTTGGGTTCGGTGAAGCGGGCCTTGGCCTGTCCGGCTTGCAACCGCTGAGCACCACGGCTATGCACAACGCGCTCCGTACTCCCGTCCTCCCTGGGATCGACGAGATCGAGCTGACCTCGATCACACTCGACGACCCCGACGTCTCTGTCCCGATGGAGGAGACGGTGGACACCGCCATACCCAAGGATGACCCCGGGTCCGGGCAACCCACGCTCAACCTCTCCGACCTGAGCTCATTCTCGCTCCCGCCACAGACGCTCGAAGAAATCATCGGGCTCACGCAGGAGATCCATGTCACCCCGCCCGGCACCCCGCAGTCGCACGGACGGACGCACCGCATGCAGACGGGTGCACACGTCGCGTCCGCACATAACCGCTCGATCTCCGTGCCGCCGTCGGAGCACCGCGCATACGACCCCCGGGCGCCGCAGACGCAGCACATTCGCCCGAAGCCGCTCGTCTCGCCCACGCGCTCCGTGTCGCTGATGGACTACATGCCCATGCACGCCGACCAGCAGACGCACGCCGCACAGCCCATGTTCTCCTCGCTCACCCAGACCGCGAACGAGATGTGGAAGCTCCCGAACGGCGGCAACTTCCCCGGCCAGAGCGTCCCGGGCGCTAGCAGCTCACACTCGGGCGAGAACGCGAACTACGACCTGCCGTTCCTCGACCTGCACTACTACTCCACGCTGCACGGGGGGAACGGCGCCGCGTCGGGCTCGCAGGGCTCGGAGACCATGGACGCGTCCGCAGCGGAGCAGGTGCGCCAGGGCCAGGCGCTCGACCTCGCACAGTCGTTCGCGCTGCAGACGAAGACGCTGTCGGAGCTACCACAGTCGCTGGCGCAGCACATCCCCATGTTCCAGTCGTGGCAGAACGCGCTGAGCGGGGCTGCGTCTGCGATGGGTGCGCAGGGGATGTCGCGCATGCCTCCGTCGCACCACCGCGGCCAGAGCGTGGTCTCGCCGCAGGACCTGCTCCTCACGAAGGGGAGCGACAACAAGCGGAAGCGGTCGAGCTGGGACGGGGGTCCGCGCTGAGGCGGGATTTGGAGGTGCGCGGGGGTGCAGTTCGCTTTCTGTGCATGGCCGCCGTTTGTGAACGGGTTTCGCGTTCTGTGGTTTTGGCTACGGCCTGATCTGGTTTCTGCTCTGTTATCGCATGCTAGGAATTTCGTCTTCTCTTTTCCCGTTTCTCGGTTCTTATTCTCCCTCATTCTGCCACCTCTCTCGCGGCTCGTTATGCTCCCTGGATTTCTCTGCTCGTTCGTAGCTCGCTCCGCATTGTTCATGCATGTCTAGCTACCATGCCTCATCTCAATCGCATCGCATCGTCTCCCTTCATACCCTCTATGTGAGGCTTTTTTTTGCGATCACCTAACCCCATAGCTCGCGCTCAAACTGCAAGAGTAAGCAAAAGAACTTGGGTTCGCCCCCAAGCACCGGGGCCATCAGTCTCGCACACGTGATTCATGACGCGTCATTAGCGCCAGCCACCTCGCGACGCGCCTCTCTCTCCGCTACCACCACCACCGGCTCCCCTCAAACTCACTGAGCCAGCAGCGCTTGCCGTGACTACGGATCTACCGCTGGGACACACTTGATCTAGTGCTACTCTTTGCGCTGGACATGCTATTGGAAGAGACGAATCACCAGGAAAGCCTTCGCCATCAATCCCGCATATACACTAGCACCCACAAAGAACAACCCCGTCTACGTCTGGCAAGACTCCTAAACATCCTCGAAGTTGCGTCAGAAGACCGTGATGGGACTGGTGCCAAAGGCTTAAAGGGCAAGAAGCGTGCTCTTGGCGCGGAAACCGACGAGCGGCCGCGAAAGCGAAGCAAGGTTTCCGAGGATACATATGTCGATAGCGCTGGAGGTGAAGACGAGAGGGTTGTCCCTGTATACCGGCGAGTGTTCAACGTGCGATACACCACTGCTCTCACCGACGATGTACTGGGGCCGTACGTGGACGATGCCGATGCCGAGAAATATGGCTGGGCGAAGAATGAAAGAGAACTGCTAGAACGTTTATCTTCTTTTGGTTCTACGCGGACTACGATCCCTCTCGGTGATTTTACAGTCACAGGTACGGGATATGTGTGCGACCCAGCCGACGATTCGGAGGTCCTGCTACCTCTGCCCACAAAGTGGAACTATCCTTTCGACACGGACGATTACGACTTCCATAGTCGAGGATACGAGGTCGCCGACCCTGTCAATGCCTTCCTCATCCTCGCAAGGGAAGGCCGCGCTCGTCTCAGCGCTCACCTCTCCATTGTTTCACCCGCTGAGAACACATCCCTGCCGAAACGAGAGCTACCATTCACCCTCCGTGTACAAGTGGATTGCTCCTTCGTTTGTCCGAGGGTCTTTGAGCCTGTGCTCGTCTCCGGTAAAACGCACTCCGATCAGGCGAAAGCCACCACAATTCAAGATGCACAACGTCGACTCCTCTTGCTCGTATTTCCCCCTCAAGATCCTCCACCAGACAGCTACAGAGGGACTACCGATATCCCCTTATTGTTTTCTGTCCTCGGGCCTGCGCCGCCGTTGCCGTCTCCGCAAGCGTATGACGCACTCCAGCCGGAGTCTCTTTTGCCCACCTTGCTGCCCTTTCAAAGGCGCAGCGTCGCGTGGATGGTCGGGAGAGAAGGCAAGACGGTTACCGAATCTGGCACGACTATCACGAAGTTCGACGTGGAGAGTGAGGCACGTCCATTGCCCTTGTTCTGGGAGGCCGTACACGTTTCTCCTGAAGAGACTTGGTATGTCAATCGTCTTCGCGGTGTTGTCTCTCCGACACCACCCACCGCGGATGACGAGGAGCTCAATGAAGACGCTCTGGGCGGCATCGTCGCCGAGGAACCTGGCCTTGGAAAGACTCTCGAGTGCATCACGACAATCATTCTCAATCCTTCCCCGGGACGCTCCCCAGTGAATGTGCGGTGGGATCCTGAGGCGAAGATCAACGTTAAGGAGATCAAGGTCTGTTCCACACATTTTTCATCTGCGAGTCGTACTTATCTCGTATGACATGTCAGACCACTCTCATCGTGACGCCGCCATCGTTGGCACCACAGTGGGCAGACGAGCTCGCAGCGCATGCGCCGGGCCTCAGGGTTCTTATCTACGACGGATGGCAGAAGGTCCCAGTACCCATCACGGAGAAAGACATCGATGCAGCGCGCGAGAAACGGCAGAAACAGCGGGCTGCAGAGAAGGCCCGCAAAGCCAAGAAGGGCTCCAAGGGCAAGGGCAAGGCAGCAGCCGCGGTAGACGCGATGGAGGTCGATGACGATGAAGACGATGACGACGACGTGCAAGACTGGTGTGCATACGTGAACACCTTCGATGTGTGTATCACTACGTATGCGGTGCTGCAACACGACCTGGGCGTCGCGCGGCCGCCGCCCGTCCGTCCGCGACGGGCATATGTCGATTATGGGAACACCAGTCGTGCGCGGAGTCCGCTCGTCATGTGCGAGTGGTACCGCGTGATCATGGACGAAGTGCAGATGGTCGGAGGAGGGAAGACAGAGTGCGTCGCTTCCATGACGTTGTCTTCGTTTGAGCAGCCGGCTGAACGCCGTCGCGGCTTTCAGGGAGATGGTCTCGCTCATTCCGCGGCTGTCGTCGTTCGCCGTTTCTGGGACGCCCGCGAGGTCGCAGGTAGCAGACCTGATTCATGTGCTAAAGTGCGTCTCTACACCCTTGATAGTGTGCCAATTCTTACATGAAATAGATTCCTTCGAGTGAAAGCCGTCACAGACTACCCGAGAGCATGGACTCGTCTTCTCTTGCCTGGTTACGTCCACGAGTTCAAGCAACTATTCCAACGCTACGCGGTTAGGTATGCCTCGTACAAACTGTGCCGTTCCCTTATACTAACCAACAGATAGGACGATGAAGGCGGCTGTCAAAGACGAACTCACTATCCCGCCGCAAACTCGATATCTTGTGCCGATCGAGCTCGGTCGCGTCGAACGTCATGTAGGTACCCTTTGTTATCATACGTACCTTCAGGCTCACTGACATGTACTATTTACAGGTCTACGACCAGAACCTTGACGCTGCGCTGCTGGACCTCGGACTGGATGCGCGTGGTGTGGCAGCAACCGAGAACTGGGAAGTCGACGTTCAGAAGCTACGGCATTGGCTTCGCAAGCTCCGTGGTATATGTACGCATCCGCAGGTCGGTCAGTTGATGGCGCATGGAGGTGGAGACAAGTTGCACAAACCGGGTGTGCTGAAGAGCATGGCGGAAGTGCTAGAGGTGTGTTTTTCATCATCATCTTCCATAAGGGTTGTACTGACTTTTGTTACCCGCGTAGTCTATGAGAGATCAGAACTGGAAGAACTTCATGGAGGACCGGAAGAACAAGGTGCGTGCGCGACGTGCTCGTGTGTTACAGGATTACAGGATTATGGAGCTCATATGTTTGTAGGTGTCTGCTATGGCAACCTTGGCACAACTACTTCAGCAAGACGAATCGAAGCTCAACCGCTACCGGGAAGCACTCGATATGCTCGTTGCCGCAGAAACCGAGGCGCAGAAGCTCGTTTCCGACCTCTCCGATGTCCTGAGCGAGCACGCAAAGGAGGGCGAGAAGCTCAAGGAAGAGACCACCAGGCTTCGCGAGCTGCGTCACCAGGCGACAAGCCACCATGCCGCTGACCACAACAAGGGCAAGGGCCGCGCACGCAGCGATAGTCCTGACCACGGCAGCGTCGAGGCAGACGAGGAGGGCCTGCCGCACAACCCTATTGGCGACGCGCACAGAGCGAAGGCGGGTATGCTGCAGAACCGCATCCGAGACGCGCGTATCATTCTGCATAAGGTCAAGTTCTTGCAGGGAGACGTATATCACGTCCTCGGGGAGCAGTATACGAACCAGGAGAATGAGGCATATGCGGCGGCTGAAGAACTGCGGCGTGTCTTGCTTAAAGGTAAGTGCAGTTGCTCCGTCCGATGGCTAGTGGTCTTATGTTTGCGTAGGCACCGAGGATGCCGCTTCGCGTGCTATGACCTACCTCGACCACGATCCAATCGTGAAGGCTCTCAACGAGAAGGATCTGTTCGTCAAGATTCCCTACCTTGACAACGGCGGCATCAAGTCTCACCTGCTGGTATGACTTTCGCACCCGACATTCACGCCAACTTTCCGAGAAACTAACATGCGTCGGTAGATGGATGAAGCAAACGAGCTTATCGACGGTCTGCTGAACGAGCAGTCCACTCTACTCTGGCAATGGCGGACGAAGCTCATCGCGCTTCTCACGCAACCGCTCGGATCGAAGGATGCGGACGCAGACGGCCAGGAGTATACCCGCAGCCTCGACACCCAGGGCGAAGCCGAAGCGTATCTACAGGCCTACGCCGCACTCCTCGCTGATCGCCGTGAGACACTCACCGCCGAACGCACGCTCCTCGCCGCGCACGACGTGCGGGAGGTCAAGGCGCGGAAGACCAAGGCGGCACGCGGTACGCGGTACCTGACAGAGGTCGAGGCCGAGGTCCTGGATCTCGACAAGCTGGAGGACCACGACATCCAGCCCGAGCATCAGGTAATGCTGAAGACGTTGAACGACGAGCGGAAGGCGCTGTTGGACGAGTTCGATCCGGGACGGGCGATCAAGTCTATCATGGTGGAACTGAACAACATCGCTGTCGGGATTGTGAAGGACGACGATCCTGAGAAGATCATCGCGAAGAGTGGTGTTGCTAGACTAAGGACGCTCATTTCCGAGCAAGGTCGGTCACCGTTCAGCGTCTATATGTGTTTTGAAGCTTAATTATGACGACAGGGAAATTGATTGACAAGTTGCAGAACGACCTGGCGCATCTCCGCAAAGCGTTCAACGAGCGTATCTCGTACGTCACTCGCATGTCTATCTTATACAGGCCCTTACTCATGGGCGTATTGCCTTTCAGGTATTTCCGGCAGTTGCAAGAGATCTCCGACACTGTCGCAGAGGCACTGTGGGAAGGGGATGTGCAAGATGCCATAAGGGATATCCGTGAGCAACAGGGCGTACTTGAGACCAAGATCAATACGGCCCGTGCCCGACAACGGTATATGGACAACCTCAGCACATCACACGAAGCAGGTACCATGGACGAGGACGAGAGGTCGTGTATCCTGTGCAAATGTGATTTCATTCGGGGATATATCACCCAATGGTAGGTTATTGTATCACGCTTACTCGTTCCACGTACTCACCGCCTGGACAGCGCGCATGTGTATTGTGAGGTACGCATCAGGGCTAGAACGAGGGTGGCTCCCCTGCTGACTGTGACTGCAGGACTGTATGAAGGCATGGCTCGCTCGCGCCGGAGGCAAAGCCTGTCCCGTCTGTCGGGTCCCCATCAACATCGACCAGCTGCAACGGTTCTCCATCGACAACAAACCCGGCGAGCCTCCCCAAGCCCCTCCCAAGATCATGAGCAACAGCGAGGCCGTCCCGCGCTCGCGGCGCGAGATCCAGTACAACTTCATCAACCCGCAGATCATGCAGGACATCCAGGCGATGGAGTCGTACGGGAGCTACGGCAGCAAGATCGAGACGCTCATCCGGCACCTACTCTACTTGGACGTCGTAGATCCCGGGACGAAGAGCATCGTGTTCTCGGCGTGGGCCGATTCGCTCATGAGTGAGAGGGCTCTCATACTCTCAACTGTCGCCATGGAAACTGACGCTATCTCGTTCTCAGTCATTCAGCACGCGCTCCGGGCGAACGGTATGCGAACGTCATCATGGGCTCGGTGCTAGTAGGGTGCTGACCCGTGGATTAAGGTATCTCGTGTCTCCGGATAGACCAGCACACCGGTAAACAGAATGCGGCGAAGCGGTTCCGAACGGACCCAACGATCTCCGTCTTGCTTCTGCACGGGTGAGTGCCCGATAGCCTGCCCGTGGCGCTGGAGGTGCCGGTGCGTCGTTCTGACGCTTGTTATCGTGCAGCGAACGTGAGAACGCCGGGCTGAACGTTACCTGTGCTTCCCGTGTCTTCTTGGTGGAGAGCGTTGTGCATCATGCGTTCGAAGTGCAAGGTATGTTTACCACTGCAGTGGAGTCGATGGCGCGATCTGACCGCTTTCTCGCTAGCTATCGCACGTATCGACCGTATGGGCCAAACGAAGCCGACGGAAGGTGCGTTCTCGCAGACCGTTTGAATCACAACCCTGCATTCTCATTCCGACTCCACGCAGTGTATTGTTACTACGCGGAAGACACAGTTGAACGCAACATCTTGGATCTGGCGGCGAAGCAGGGGCTCTCGCTCTACACGCGAGATAATGCAGCAGGCACGCTCAATGTGACGCCGTTCGCAGCGGACGCCGACAAGAAGAAGGTCGATGCTCCGGCAAAGAAGGTGCAGAAGGGCGACTTCGTGTACAAGTGAGTACTTACGGCCCGTTGCTTCGTTGTCGGTATGTCGAAAGGGATTCTGATGCGACGTTTGTGATAGGATGGATGACATGCTTGCCATCCTCTTCCCTCATCTCTACGAGGACCTGGAGTATCTCATACCACCCGAAGACGGTGGCTCTCAAGACACTGGTGCTTCCCGGGAGTTGGACTCAAGCGGTATGGGTGCTTCGTCAAGGCAGACAGTGGTGCACGAGAACGCGATTGCCGGACCGTCGGGGCTGCACTAAGATTTAGTGGTTCTGTTGTTCAAGGCTTCGGTACCATATAATACCACCTAGATGTTATGTTTTGAACTCCTCTCTTATGTATCCCATCATCTATCTGCCATATCGTCGCCGACTCGCGCACATTCGCGCCTGCGGGCTCCTCTGCAACTTGCTGTGAGGTATATGGTCGGCAGCCCGGGCCGGAAGCGGAACGTATAGACGTCATGGCGGCAAGTCGCGCTCTCCGCGCCCGCCCGACGCGTCGCGTTGCTTCGCATCTTGCTCGTCGACCACCACCACCACCACCACCACCACTGCAGTCGCATCTGTTGTGCTCTCCATCTCTTCGTCCTCTTTTACAGTACTGGAAGAGACTTTGACAACCATGTTCAAGGCATTCACCAGGACGATTGTGAGCCATTTCCTGCGGCAGTATACACCGAGTCGGCTCTGACCAGTTTGCTATACTCAGCCAGAGATATCGATATTGTATGCCGTTCGCTGCACTTGACGGTTGCTACTTGGAGCTCACGCTTGTCTCTAACAGTCACAATCCTTCCTCGCCGGCGTCTACGAGCGCGCTCAAGTTGCTTCGCTCGGCGCTATCGTCCCCATACCCACCATCGAAACCTTCGGCACCTCCGCTGAAGTATAATCTCGAGGTGGTCGAGAACAAACCTCCGACATCCGACCAGCTTCGGACCATCCTCTCATATCTCCCCTCAAAGGCGCCTTCCGGGCAGACACAGGCACCGTCTCCCGACGCGCTGCTGTCCGCACACCCCACGGTAGACAGCCGGCCAACGGATGCCGAAGGTGTCGCCCAGCTGGCATCGCAGAACCCTCACGCTCTGAAATGGCCGATTGTGGTGGACTGGAATGGTGGAAAAGCCGCTGTGGGTGACGTCGAGGGTGTGAAGGCTATCCTGGAAGAGCTGCGGAAGAAGCGAGATGGGGACGCCTGAGGTATGTTTTACTGGTACTACCGCTCCATCTGATGAGCTCATCTTCAACCACAATTCCTTCTGCGGCATAGCTTCATCCGTGTGGCCTGAGGTCTGTATGACTAGAGGATACTGTATTATACCGCGTGTACGTCATTCACTACTCTTGAACATTCACAGCATGTGCAGTGCCACTCGGACATTCAGTCTCCGAAGCCGGTGTAACCCATACTATGATGTGCGGTCTGAGGGTGAGAGCGATCTCTTGCCATCGAGAGTTGCCAAAATTACGCTGGGATCGGCAGTAACAACCTATGAGCCGGTTAGTGGTGTCTTCGGTGCATGCTCATTCTTGAGATGGGAGCATTCAAGCACAGACATACCATCCAGCTTTTCCGCCTTCTACGGGAGCAAGGAAGGGAGAATCCTCCGTGCTGAAGACACATGCCGGCGGGTGCCTTGAACGGCGCCTCGCTTGACCGCATCAAAGACATACCCTGATACAAAGTCCATGGCGATGCACAGCGCGCGACGTCGCTTCCCGTTATTTCCAACTTCTCATTTCCAATATATAGTATCGACTGGGAAGGAAAGGTGCCTCCTCAGTTGCACGCTGCCTGCACCTGGCCAGGGAATCGAATGTCAGATCCTGACATTACCCCGGAATATGTCGCTGAAGTCTTCCATCGGGCATTGTACGATGATTTGTTTATACATTTTCTAATGAGCTGCGTAGTAACGAGTTCATTTTCTAGTGCCCCGGAAGGATTTTGGATAGAGATGGGCTGCGTAGGTGCGTGAACTTCTACTGTGTCGCTAATGCAACGGTGCTGACTGCAAGCGGCTCGTCATAGCCCTCATCGTCTACGAATACCTGCTCACGGTTCGGGTAGAAAGCAAAGTCATCTGGCGCCGCAAACTCACCATCCCTACTATACTCTTCCTTATAAACCGGTATATACTCGCGCTATATGCCCTCTCGATATCCCTTTGGGGATTTGTTCAGTGGACATCGGATGCAGTAAGTTGTACACACTCAAACTCGCGCTTTCATGAACTAACAGCTCTCTAGAGGTACGAGGACATGCATGTCGGTGATACATTCAGATCTTACCGCATCCCTTAGATGTACTCCGCCGGCCGTTTTGCAGTGCCTCTGTGCGATATGCATTCAAGTTTGTTATACAGGTTGGTGTTTGAGTATACACACATTAAACATGACACTTACTCGTGTTGTAGTATTCTCTGCACTACGCGTACATGCCATAAATAACCATAATTGGTTGTGGACAACCATCATTTTATGCCTCGGATTTGTGGCCATTCCACATCAAGTTGTAAGTTGACGTGCGTCCCGCAGTGGTGTCCTTGTTCATATCCCCTTGCCATGCAGATCGGTATCGCAACATCACGTCGAGTCCTGGCAATTCCGCCACCTCTGAATGGCTGTGCGGTATCAATATTTGAATACGATGGCTTGGACGCCGCCGCATGGAATCGGTCCGTCTCCGTTCGCTCACTCAGTGCCAGCTTGTAAAACTAATCGCCGACCGCTATAGAGGTGCGCCAATCCGCTGATGTGCCACATTTTGAACTATACGGAAACGCTTTACGCGCAGCGGCGATCGCCTCCGAGGCCTGTGTGATTCTCATGGACATCCTCGTCCTCGGTATCACCTGGTATCGAACAGCGGGGATCATAATGCTGGCGAGGAAGGTCCAAATAGATACGTCGCTCGCTCAGCTCATGCTACGCGACGGTGAGTTTACATTAACGACATCGTCTTGAGTCGCTGACATGAGCGGTTCGCAGGTACCGTCTTTTTCAGGTGTGCATTTTCACCCCGCCGCGACTGTACCTTCTCAAGAGAACTCAACGACTAAATCATAGCCTTACGTTGGGCCTACATATCATTGTCATCGTGGTCGATGAGACGGTACGTAATGCTACTGCATCTTCAATCTAAGGAAATTGCTCAACATCGCCCAATTGCAGCGGCACACCCCGCTGATCATCCTCACATGCACGTTAGTACCGACCCCCGACATTTCTATCCGAGTGTTATTGTATCGACTGATCTTGACCTCTTGCAGTTTCATGTCCATCATCATGACAAGATTCATCCTCAACTTGCGCATGCTCAGCTCGTCAGACCCCGAAAGCAGGCTCTACTCTTTGCACCTTACAAAGTCTGCGAGCCTACGCTTCTCGCCAGCCGCCTTCGACAATATCGGCTCCCCCCTGGACATGTTTGGCGGACACGACGACGACCAGGCAGGCGAACACGACGAAGGCCAGGACGACGACATCGGCGACCACTCACATGAGGGGCTCCTCCCGCTGCGAGGGCATACCTTGTTGGACGAGTACTCCGCGGTGGAGGAGACGGAGTCCCTCGAGTGTTAGCGTGGGTTGTAGCTCTCGCGGGGGTAGGTATGCGCATCAGGAGTTTTTTCAGACATCGAACGATCATAGACATGTATTGCTGCTAATTATCTTCCGCCACAAGTGTAACCAGTCCCTGCGCACGTCTCCCTCCCATGGTCCCGGCCATCGACGCGCCGCACACCCACGCTCGAGGTGCATGCTCCATGGCACGCGCACGCTCTGCGTGTCGCTGGGCAACCCTTACACTTGGAACTGCCCATACTCGGGAGCCCTGGTGTCGTGTGCGAGCCGCGTCCTCGAGCGCGTGGGCGCGATAGGTGCGAAAACGGCGGCGTGCCTTGCATCCGCTGCGGTGGTAAGCTGCTCCCAGGCTCCCAGGCCCCGGGTTCGGCTGGCAACCTGGGGTAAGAAGGAAGACGATCGCTGGGGGCGTGGGCCCGGCGGAATGCGCTCGAGCCTTCAGCGCGTCCCAGGATCCGAGTTCTGGACTCCTTCCCACACACGGCTATGGCTTCCTCCTCCCCGGCTTTCATCGGCCTTTGCAAGGTTTGCTATGCGGCGCAGTCGCTCGTCCACTAGTTGTTTCTGAGTGAATACCTCGGTCACAGTACGTCTTATCCGCAGCGCCTTTGTGGAAAACTCAGCACGACGACGACGTGAACATGCACAATGCGCTGCATGGAGGGTCGGCCTGCGCTGCAAGCAAATCTTTGTAAGTGTGTGAGCAGGTGGGAAATACGGCAGCCAGGCACCTTCTTTGTAAAGCTATCACGCTGCAAGGATCCCATGGTTCAGTTCTAAGAGCGTACGTCACCCATTCCCCTGCCGTTTGTATTTTTGTTGACTCGCATTAGGGAAGAAAGTCAAGTGGTAACCCCGCCGCATGATCAACACTCCTAAGTCACGAATTCAGGGACAGTGTATGCGGACCGTCATCACGTACACGAGCGCACACGCGCCTCATGCCTCACTGTTCCACGGAACCTTCTTGCAGCCCCGCGCAAAACTGCGCTCGTTTCCCGCTTCTGGCGGAATCTCGACGGACACGTTCAACCCGCGAGCCTCGACGGGGCAGAATTCAACTTCGGGCGCCACTGGGTGTGTACAACTCTATGACTTTGTGTACATCCGACTCACGTCTGTTTTCCGAAATCGCGTGTCCTGCTTCGCGTGTCAGCGAACGATAGTCTCTGATAGGCCTTTTTACGGTCGCTGTTGCTGCCTCTACACAGTACTGAACAGCGTTCGCTGCGCACGGGACTCGCCGAGCCAGGTTGTTCCCATGTCTAAAACTCTGCACTGCCGGCTGCAACTCGTCGTCGCATTTACCGGTCCCTGAAGCTGATGGGATGGGTGCGGACGCCTGCCTCGCGCTCTAATACCCACGGGCCGTCACATCACCACTGCGGGGAACTTCTGCTTTTCTCGCGGATGTGGTCAGGAGTCCGCCCTGTCACTCTGGCATATCATCCGTTACGTACCCGAATCTTGGCCCGTTTCTCCTGCTCTTGCCCACCACCTCCGATCGGTCGTCCCCAGGCCCACCCCCCATCGCAAATACCACCTCGCACGTCGGCGATCCGTCGACGGACAGCACTATTAATAGTGGTCGAGTGTTCTTGGCAGGCTGTTTCAACTCTGGAGGACTGGAAGGTGGCTGGCTCGGTCACTCGGCTGGTATGAGGTACGCGTTAACGTTCGAGTTGCGTACGTTGCCGGCAGCGCGAAGACTGATCGCCTTTGTTGAAGCATACGCGACAGTCTGCACAGAACCGTATCTCGCCTGTCGTCAATCTCGTTGCTACTCTGGTCCCCGGCATTACCTCTACTCCTCCTGTGCCGGAGCGCGGCGGGTGCGACGAACGTAACAGTCGACGACGCGTCGGGCCTGATTGTGTATGCACCCTCCTCTTCTTGGCACGCGTCCTCCGAACCTTGCTCCGTATGTCTGCAGCCGAGCTCCGGCATCGCATTCGGCGGGACTTGGCACGAAGGCCTCAGCACCTCCGATGCAGATGACGCAACTTCGGGTTCAAGCAACCGAAGCGGCACCAGTTCGGGACAGACTAGCGGCGGTAGCTCCGGGCAGAGCAGTGGTGGCAGCTCTGGTGGGAGCAGTTCTGGTGGAAGCAGCTCTGGTGGGAGCAGTTCTGGTGGAAGCAGCTCTGGCGGCAGTTCTGGTGGCAGCAGCTCGGGCGGCGGCAACAGCTCTGGGAAGAGTAGTGGCGGCAGCTCGGGCAAGACCAGTGGTGGCGGCGACGCAGACGACAATGACGGCGACGCGGACGATCACGGCGACGCGGACGACCATCCTGGTGCAAACGACGGTGACGCGGATGACGGTCCCGACGCAGACGATGGCCCGGATGCAGATGACGGTCCTGACGCGGACGACGGACCAGATGCGAACGACGGGCCCGACGCGGACGATGGACCTGACGCAGACGACAACCTCGACGCAGACGACAAGTCCACGACAAGCAGCAAGGGCGACGCGGATGACAAGCCCAAGACGAGCAGCAAAGGTGACGCAGACGACCAGCCTAAGACAGCTACCAAAGGCGACGCGGACGACAAACCCAAGACAAGTGGCAAGGGCAAGGGCGACGCGGATGACCAGCCCGACGCAGACGGCAAGGGTGAGGCAGACGACAAGGGCGACGCGGATGACCACAAGGCGAGACGGCATGCGATGGACGCCGATGGTGGTGTTCTTGCATCGTTTGCGCGCCGTGCATCACCTGCCCTCGGCCTGGCTCCGAGCACCTCCCCGAACGAAGACGGCTTCAACCAGTCTAACTTCGCGAGGGCTACAGCGGATCCCGTGGACCCACCTGTTACCGCCCAGTTCAATTTCACCGGTACGTAGTTCCACGAAGATCACCCTGGGGAGACGTGATCGACGGTATTCATTGGACGTGGACGGCGGGCTGATTGGCTGTTGCATAGGCTCGGCGATATACGTCTATGCCATCGTCCCGCAAGGAGCCGCGCCTGCGAACTCGGCGCCGACCGCCATGAACCTGACATTCCTGTTGGACTCGCACCCCATTGGTGCTTACCAGCATGCCGGAGCAGCGTCTGCATCCGGCTACCTCCCTTCTCAGCTGGTCTTTGGCCAAGGTGACCTGGCCGACGGACCACACTCGTTTACGATACAGATCGGGCCGGATTCTGTATTCCTATTGGACTACATCGTATACACAGAGGGAAACATCAGTGGCGGCGGAGACAACTCTAACGGGACAGTTGCGTCGACGTCCGGTGCCCCTGGGGCACGGGAGACAGGCTCAGGTACTGGGAGCACGGCGCCAAGCGGAGGTCCCGGGACTGCCAACCTGTGCGTATAATTCCCGCTTATATTTCGGGAAGGCTCTATTCACTCACGAGTCGGATTTTCCTATTCGCTGCGCCTCTCGGATATCTCACTCGCTCTTGATTCGCTCCTTCGTTTTGTACCACCCCCGCCTCCACACTCTCCCTGCCCCTCCTCCTCTTCTCCGCCCCCCATCTCGCCACTCTGCTACGCCCGTCATTATGTCTGCCAGCCCCGCCCCCCGAAAATCGAATAACGTCGCGACCTTCGCGGGTGCGGTGGGCGGTAGCGTCGGCTTGCTTGCGGTTCTTGCGCTCTCGCTCGCGATCAGCATATACCGTCGGCGGGTGCGCGCGGCGCGCAGGGATCGCCACTTTCGACAGACCCAAAATGTCGACTTCGACGCCGAGTCGTTCCACACTGAGGCGTCCGAGGATAGCCCGCCGATGGCAGGGCCTGCACCGTTCGTCCCTCGCTACTTCCCTGGCACGGTCGTGCCCGCCCCCCCACCACCGTACTCGCCGCCCTCAGAGCAGACACAAGCACTGCTCGCAGGCGCATCACCCATCTCATCACCGCTGTGGGCTCCCCCGCGGTTACCAGCCCCAGGCGAGGATACCTCGTACGCGGACAGGCCGCCTCCCACGCCGCCTCCATTGCCAGAAGACGGCTTCGAAGACTACTTCGCCTCGCCCTCCTTCCCGCAATCCATCTCCTCCCCTATACCCGCGATGCTGGCTGGCTACGCACCTGTTTCGACGTCTGCGCCGACGAGCGCATCCCCCGTTCCCAGACATGCGAACGGACCAGAGTCACGAGGGGTGTACGCGACGGCTACCCCACCGACACGACCGCGCGAGGACTCTGACAGCTGGTCGCAGCGGAGCGATTGGTCCGACCGACCACCATCGTTCGCATCGCAGGCGCCGCCGCTGATACCACTACCGCCGCCACAGCCGCAAGAAGGGAGCCAGGGCCAGGGAGACGGAGGGATGGAAGGCGGCGCGCAGCGGCAGGAACAGCTGGTGGTGGAGGAACAGCAGCAGGAGCGGCAGCGGACATCTGATGAAGATCGGAACTCTGTACGGTCTGCGCGGTCACGGTGATACATGACACTACGGTACTCGTTCGTTTATTGGTGAGTCTCAGCGTCCCCGCCGTCCGCGTCCCCGCCCTACGTCCGTCCGTCCCCCCGCCTGTGTCCCGCCCGCGAGGCTGCGTCGAGTGCCCCGGCCGCGCTCCGCCGACGCCCCTTGCGCCATGGCGTGTGCGCGGGGTGGCGTGTAGCAGCGTGGGGGCCCGTACCCCAGCGTCGGGCCATCTCTTCCCACCAACAGGGCGCGCTTGGTGCACCCGTCCCGGCCGCACTCGCGTGATTCCCACCGTCCTGCCGCACGCGCGCGCGCGCTCGCACGCTTGCTATTTCCTACCCGGCCCCGCTCTCATCTCCTTTCCCGTGCGGAGCAGCGCTGACCCGGGACCTGTGCCCGCCCCCGCAGGAGCCTCGCCGACTCTGGACATCGGCGCACGTCCGCCGCCCAGCACACGGCCGCGGCAGCACACACTTACGCATGATCATCACGGATGTATCTTAGTAGACCAGAGCCACGACCACATCGCACGCATCGACTTTCTTTATTCGCATAACATGTATGTACAGCTAGGGTCGCCGTGGGCGGTGGGCGCGCGCAGCCGGTGGGCGCGTGGGTGGTATAGCATTGCGTATGTCATCGCCGCGATGCCCGCCCCACAACAGCCAGCGAGGGAGTGCTCCCGGACGGTTCACATCATGTGCTGGGAAGCCCGCGTTTGAGGAGCCGCTTGGCCATGGCCCGAGGTGCGTGTGCAGCGTGCGGCGGTCGTCCCGCCCTCTTGGCTAATTGCGTATCATGAACCATGGGCTCGGGCCCGAAGGGCGCGCGACGGGGTGGAGGCCGTAGCACACGCATTCGCGCCCCAGATCTTGCTCCAACGGGCAGGAATTAGCACGCGGCGTCGGGCTGCGTGCGGCTGGGATCGTTGGACATTGAAAGCAGGTTTCCGAACAAACGGTAGACGTCAACTCTGTATCTTGCGATGATGAACAAACGTCACGAGCGTGCAGGCATTCCGCTCGGGGAACTGTCAGCCTGCCGCAGTGTGTCACCTGCACCATTAGCAAGACGGTTGTTTCGTGCGCTCCGTCTACCGGTGCATGCTCGACCAATGGTTCCGCTGTTTCGTTCGTGCGTCCCTCGGACGTCGGGCGGTTGCACTCGCGGTGTACCACGATGTCAGGAGAGCGTTGATATGGCGGTGGTGAACTTCGTATAGGGTGAGAAGGTCGCTGTGGTGCTGTATGGCCGAGCGAGGGCGGCCCCGGACCAATCGGAGACGCAGTGCGGGGAATGCTAGGGTTAAACCCCGGCTGCCTGTCGACTGTCAGAGCTCAAGAAGTTTGTAGACATGAATGACGACGTCCACGTACTGCGTTAGAATGAAGTGTCCGGGTATGGCGACGCCAAGCCTTGAATAGCTTGTTCCTCGAAGAGTTGTCGGTCATCCTGTTCTATCTACCTGGGCTTGTCAATTGTCGGTCATCGCACAACAGTATACAGTGCATCATGGCGCCCGGGCCGAGGTATACAGTGGACTGGGATCATGACTATGCTGTGAACAAGGAACAAGAATGATAGAATGTTGTCGTTGATCCAACGTAGCGAGCGACTTCTACCATTACGATCAATTTGATGCACTGCGACTGATGCACTATAGCGTAGGATCAACAGGAACAACCATATTGCATGAGAGAGACTTACCTTTTATACTGAATGCTGTGCCTGTCGTATTCAAATTACACTCGTACTGGGATTTATTCGTACTAGCATTTTGATTGCACAAAGGCCTTGACGTACTATGATGGCGTGCACTGTTTCTTGAGTATCCGAAGAGTCCTGAAAAGAATCATATGAGGTGAAGGCATCTTGCTGGTGGTGAAAGAGCAGGAGCAAGTGGCCGACACCAAGTCGGCCGGAGTCACCCGATTTGGCCTGGCGTTCAGTAGCCTCGTGGGCTCGCGTAATCACAAGCGTCTAAGTGTGTCGCACGCGCGCTCACCTACTACCGTCATCTCCATCATCCACAGGGTCAAGTCTTTGAGTCCGTATACTCACTGTGCACTTGGTAAATAGGTAGGACACGAAGACAGACTCTTTGACATGTATTGTAGCTGATCTACGGGCTGCATCCACAGATATCACAGCGTCACGACGCTCGTGCTTAACGTCTCGGATTCCCGACATAGAGAACTCCCCGATAGGACACTGTCGGAACAAACACAGTAGACCGCAGATCTACCCTATAATCTAACATATACACGGTTTGGGGCTCTAACTGTGCTCATATGTTCGCACTGTTGACCCCCTACATCCTAGATTCTAGAGTCGATAGACCTGAGCTTCTATGAGCTTGAAGAGGTACAGTTACAGCGTGGACGGTACCATACCCGTCCCAGCTCTTCTGTACGACGATGAGGTTCTCCTCTCGTCACAAGATGGGGTGGGAATCTACGACGGGTCAGCCGCTACTCTAGCTCACGCGTGAGATACATCGCTGAAGATGATGGGATTTTTGACAGGCCTCAGAAATCACCACATCATCAGGCTGGTTCGATTCACATCACCACCCATCGGCTGTTCTACATAGACAGCGCCCACCCCTTCTCGCGATCCTTTGCGCTGGACCTGACGCACGTCGCCCGGACCGAATATTACGCTGGCTTGTTTACGAGCTCGGCGAAGGTCACCCTGCACTTCAACGCGCTCCCCATCCCTACGAAGGACGCGGCCGCCGCTCAGCCATCTTCCAACCAAGCATCGAGGTCAACGACGAACGTCGAGACATGGGAATGCGAGGTTTGCAGCAATCGGAACCCCATAGGACTGACATCCTCGGGATCGCTGGTGTGCGCACTATGCGGTGTTCCGAGGGCATCTATGAAGGCCGCCATTGACATTCCATCGCGGCCCTCCAAAGTCACCCCTGCAGTCCACCCCATGTCCACATCCGTGCCGTCTTCTTCGCTCAATTTGACCAAGCTCAGCATCTCGGCCGCACCTTCCCCAGCACCGGCGAGCCCCGTCGCACAAAGCAGCACAGGTGAAATCGCCTGCCTCGCGTGCACCTTTCTCAACGGCCCTTTCGTGCGAAAGTGTGAGATCTGCGGTACGCCGCTGCCCAAGCCGGCGCGGTCAGAAGCTCCCCATCCTCCGGCTAAGTCCGCCCCAACATCACGTCCGACGACGCCTGCTCTAGAAGAAGACGACTTCGAGGACACCCCAGATAAGCGGATGATTAGGCTAAGCTTCCGCAGAGGCGGCGACAAGAGCTTCTATAATGTGCTGAAGCGAAGTCTGCTAGGAAAGGCATGGGAGGTGCGGTCGGCACTAATGGTATCATGTTATTGTTTTCTAACTTCGTCATCCTGAATCTTAGAGCAAGATCGTTGCACCGGTAGCTCAGTCCAGCGGCGCAGGAGCTTCGTCCAGACATCTTGGACGGTCAGGAATCAGTGCGTCCTAATTCATCTCGTTATCAATTGTAACAAGTGTCAATATCCTCATACTTCTAATGCTCTACAGACGGTATCCTGCGGTCGGTGGAGACTACCGCGACCACCTCTCAGTCCAATATGGAAGATGCGCTCGCCGATCTCGAGGCACTCATGGTCAAATGGAAAGACATGGTCAAACTCGCACAAGACCTGAACGACCGCCTCACCGCCGCGTCCACCCCAGCCCCTCCCATAACACCCGGGATGCCCAGCCGGACATCAACTCCCGTTCCTATCACAGCCACAGCGCTCACGACGCAAGCGGTGGAACCGGAGGAGGCGACGTTCATACGGTCGTCGCTTGCGCAGCTCGGGCTGCAGATGGCGAACGCGCCCGTGACGCAGGACATGGTGCGCGACGAGCGCAACTGGTTTGAGCAGCTCGCGCGTGAGCTCGCGGGCGTGCTCGAGGGCAGCGGCGCGAAGGTAGGTGGGGAGGGTATGATGCGCAAGCGCGGCATAGTTGGGGTAGATGAGGTATGGGGCGGGTGGAACCGTGCGCGCGGTGTTGGTGAGTACGGTTTCTCTGAGTCAATCGTGGATCGGCGTCGTGATCGCACTGTGCTGACTGGCGACTGGCGTTTTCTTTACAGCGCTCATACCACCAGCCACATTCCTGCAAGTGCTGCCCCATTTGTCGAGCTTCACGCATCCACCAATCCGGATGCGCACATTTTCCGCTTCGGGGCTCTCGGTGCTGCATACGCCTCCCTACGGCAGCGCAGCGTTCGCCTCCCGTCTTGTCAGCCTGCTCACACTTGGTAAGCGATTCCTACTCATTCTTCAAATTAGCTTCTCATCTTGCGTGCGCAGCGGGCCCGCGTACGACGATCGAGATCGCGCAGGAGGAAGACCTGCCACCAGGTCTGACACAGGACATGGTCGACGAGGTCGAGGCCGCCGGCGAGATCTGCAGGGACGAGGGCGGCTCTGGCGTCGCCACCTTCGGCGCCACGGCAGCCCAGGACGCTGCTGCGGGCGGCGAGGTGCGCTGGTGGACGAACGTGTTCCGGGGATACGTCTGGGACGGGCAGGAGTACGAAAGCGGCCTCCTCCAAGCATAGGCCTGAAGCTGAAGCCCTGAAGACGGGCTGAGGCCGGCGTATCTCGGTGTATCATATCGCACGCGTGTACGTTCTTGGTATCTCGTTGCTCCGCTACTCATAATTTGTATGGGGGCCTTGTAGAGGTGTACCAAATCCCTTCATTGTCCGTTGGCGACTAGGTGTCGATCGAGCGTACGCTGTCGAGCGCTGGCTCATGTCCGAGGTCCCTCGGGACGCTACTGTACCCGGCTCGCCTCCCGAGTGAAGAGACCGCAATGCAGTACGCCATCGCCGCGGCATGCCCGCTCAGCGTCCATTCCGCACCAAGCGCATGTATCGCATGATCTGCACTCGTAGGGACCACATTTCAAGCTCAAGGTTCACAGAGCCAACTGTGCCTTGCATGCGGAGTATCGCCTCCCGTTCATCATACCTAGTTCCTAGATCCTCGCTGTCCGCAACAGGTGTTCCTTTAAATTTGTCGACCTGTCCGTCTGTCGCCGCTACACCCATTCATCCATCCTTGACTATTATAGGTGTAAAGTTTACCGTTGGCCTGCGGTACACCAGCCACCAGATCGCAAAGCAGTGTACGCATCGCGAGATCTTCACCTGTACGCCACGCGCAGATGTGCGGTGCTCTCGGAGCCCGCATCACAGGTCCACGATCCACAGGGAGAACAGGCCTGTTGAAGTCCAGCGTCCTGCACGTGTATTCATATCGATGCCAATGTCTCACCCCGCCAAAGCCACAACGCCCACATGCGGTGTAGGTATGCGTGGTCGGTGGCGGCGCCCCCGGGCATACTTGCTATTTACGACTGAGCCGGGGTCGCACTAGTGGCACGCGCGGATCCCGAAAACACGCTCACGCGGAGATGTAGGACATACGGTAATAAATTCATGATGACATTGCAGAGACGAGAGCATTACGGACCATCCGGCGGGCATTACGCGAGTAGTAGTAAGAGAAGGCGGCGGTGCGGGGGCGAGTAGTACGGTAGGATAGGATAAGCTATATCGACACACGGGAAGATGTACACAGTAGGCAGACGTGAGTGCGCGCAGAAGGAGATATTCGCGCCTGGCGCCGATAATTAGGGGTGGGGGAAAAAGGTTGGGAAGGAGGAATGGGGTGAAGGCGGTGGACTGGTCACCGCGGGGAGAGGCGCGCCGTTACAAAGTCTGTATGGCGGCTGCGCGCGCCCGGCCGCGGGCTTGCCAGGACCGGCGGCGGATTCGAAAAGGGGGGTGAAGGAGGGCAAATTGGGATGGGGTGAAAGTGGGAGAGGAGAGACGGAACGAAATGTGATGCAGCGCGAGGACGTTAACGATAGCAAGCACTTGCGTGTGAGAGATGACAGGACAGATGAGCAGAACGGCGTCGTTTTGATACAGCAGGGGGTCCACACGGAAGAAGACACAACGGATCCGGACGCGGGGAACGTGAAGGAGACAGCGGAGGCGATTAAGTTGGTATACGGTACGGCGCGGCCGCTTGGGGGCCGCGCAGGAAGGAAAGGGAAGCTATTATGCGCGATTGTACGATAGGGCATGCACGTCGGGTCGGATTCAGAGGGAGTGATGGGGGTGGGCGTAGTATTCGGACTGCTGTTGATGCTGAAGTTGCTGCTGGGCGACGTATTGGTCTTGGAGGTACGCGGGCTGCTGGTGCGGATGTTGGTGCTGGTGCTGGTGGGCGATCTCCATCTCGTACGCGGCGTCGCCGACACCGTTATACGGCATCGGCGAGTCCGTGCGGTACATGCCCGCGTACGACTGCTGCTGCTGCTGCTGGCCCTCCTGCACGGCCGCATACTGCGCCGCCATGCTCCCCGCGTCCATCTGCTCGAGGCTGAGCATGTGCCGCATCTGCTCCTGCAGCTGCCCGCTCGAGCTCGAGCGCGAGTGCGCCGTATGGCGCCCGGGCGCCGCGTCGTACCCGCCGCTCAGGGGCACCGTGTACGCCATCGGGCTCGACTGCGCCGAGTGCGACACCGCGTGGTGGCCCGCCATCGCGTACGGGTGGTACGAGCGGCTCGTCGGCGCCGACGCGGGGGTCGCGCCGACGGTCGTGTTGCCCGAGTCCGACATCGCGGCGCTGTACGGGCGCCGGATGGACTCGCCGTAGCGCGGGATGGACGGCGTCGCGCTGCGGTGGCGGCGGATGGGCCCGGGGCCGTTCAGCGCGAGCTCGTGCGGGTAGAGCGCGGCGTGGTCGAAGGTGAGCTTGTGGCTTGGGGCGGAGATCGAGGTCACGTAGTCGCCCATCGAGCCGGTGTGGTACGACGCGTCGAGGCGTGCGTTCGCGAGGTGCAGACTGTTCGGTGTCGCACCTCCTGCAAACGCGGACGCCGGGGGCTGCTGCTGCTGATGTTGCTGGGGGAGGGGCGCGGCGGGGACACTCACCCACTGCGAGTCGGGCGAGGGCTGTCCAGCCAGGTAAGGGCTCGCCTCGGGGGACGCGCGGAGGATCTGGCCTGTGCTATCGTAGAACATCGCCTGGCGCTGGCCCTCCACGTCTCCACCGTCCTGGGGCGCTGCGCCGCCAGTGAGCGCGACAGACCCGCTCGTTGTGAGCAGGCCCTCCTCGTCGCCCTGCACCTCATGCACCGCGCCCTGCACCTCGACCTCGCACATCCGCACGCTCGTGATGCCGCCGACCCCAGACATATATTGCAGCTCGCGGTCGAGCTCGTCCGTGTCGAGCTCGTCCTCCGCGTCCGCCTCGCCGCCGTCCGGCACCCCGACCGCCATGCCCATCTGGCCCATGGCAGCCGCCGCGGCCGCGCGCCGGTCGTGCGTGCGCACGTGCTGCGCGAGGTTGTCCGAGCGCGAGAACCGCTTCTGGCACTGCTCGCACTGGAACGGCCGCTCGAGCGTGTGCGTGCGCAGGTGTCGCCGGAGGTGCTCCATCCGCTTGAACATGCGTCCGCACGAGAAGAGCGGGCACACGAACGCTTTCGTGCGCGGCGCGCCCTCCATCTCCATGCCTGCGTCCGCCGACCACCCGGCGGGCATCTGTTGCTGCTGGTTGAGTGCATACGAGGGCTCGGTGGCGGTGCGCGCGTGCGGGTGCTGCGCGAAGTCGACCATGGGGTACGTGTGCCGCTGCTCGAGCTGAGGGCGCGGGTGCATGCCTTGCACGTACGACTGAGGCTGCTGTTGGGAATAGTCCAAAGACCCCGCGAGCGCAGACGCGGTCGCCGGGATGCCATACACGACGTCCATGCCCTCCTGCGGCTGCGCCTGGGGCGGGGCGGCGCCCGAGACCCCAGGCCCGCTGAGGCCCCCCGGGAAGGGCAGCTTGTCCTGCGCGGCGGCGGCAGCCATCGCGCGCGCCTGGCGCTCCTTCTGGGACACGACGATGTCCGGGTTCGCGCCAAACTCGCCGCGCGCGCCCGCCGCGAACATGTCCTCCGCGCTCAGCCGCAGCACGTCCCGCCCGAAGCGGTCCACGTGCGGCTCGCGGAACTGCGCCTGCTGCTGCTGCTGGTGCGGCGCGATCGTGTACATGCCCGCGCCGTTGAGCTGCGCCGCGAGCGACTGGTGCGCGAGCGGGTGGTGCGGGTGCCCGTGCGCGTGCGAGACGGAGCCGTCCGAGGTCGGGCTGGACTTGCGCCCCTTCGGCACCTTCTTGCGCCGCTGCTTGTACGTCGGCGAGCCCTCGAAGAGCGAGAACATCGGGAAGAACGGCGAGTTCGGGCCGCTCAGCGCGCTCGGCTTCTTCTTGCTGCTGCTGCTGCCCGCCTCGTCCGCGCCCTCGTCTGCGTCCGCCTCCGAGGCGGAGTGCTCCGCGTCGGACGACGCGACGGAGTGCGCGCGCCCGTCGCTGCTGCCGGCGCCGTCGTCGCTGGTTCCGCGCGCCTCGTCGGCGCGGCGGACGGCCGCCTCGAGCTCGCCCTCGCCCTCGCGTGCACCGTGCACCTTCGAGAACTGCTCGTACAGCGAGCGCTTGGGGTCGTACGTGAAGGAGAGCGCGGGCTCGCCGACGACGTGCGTGGTCGGCTCGTGGCCCATCTTCTCGCGCTTCAGGTCACGCTCGAGCGCATCGAGGAACAGCCGGTCGTGCGGCACGGAGAACCTGTGTGCCAACCGTGGTTAGCGGGCGCTCTCGACAGCAATTAGACGCAAACAATGCAGAAACTGCAGAAAACAAAAATAGGAACGCGGAGGGGGGTGGAAGGGGAGAAGGGCCCGAGAAAGGCTAGAAGGCGGAGAAACGTTGGGACGGGCGCGAGAAGCGCGAGGGCATGAAGATGCGGAGATACGCAGGGACAGTGGCGCGTGATGAGAATCGGGGAGAGGTGATGGCACGGCGCGAAGGGCAATGCGATGCGGTGCGGGGTTGTCGCCGTGCGCGCCGGAGGGGCAGATGTGCGCGGCCAGCCCGGAGAAAGGGTACGAAGACGCGGAGAACAGGCGAAGCGGCGGACGGGACGCGCGAGGAAGAGCGCGCCACGGGAGAAGATGCGGGCAGAGGGCGGCGGCGGGAGCGAGAACCAGAACGCGAACAAAGCAAAGCGCACGCACCAGTAGAACACCTTCTGCTTCTTCTGCGTGCGGATACACTGGTACTTGAACAGCAGGTCGAGGAACGGCGACTGCACAGACAAAGAAAAGAGCGAGCGTTAGCGTCCACACTTCATGATCACCAGTGCACGGTATCAACGCCATCTGCGCACGATCAACGCCATCGGCGGGGAGGAGGGGGCACGAGAACGGGCGGTGAATGGGGCGAAGGCACCACCACCACTATTCCCGCGCGATCGGACCTCGCGAGCCGCCCGCGCGGGGGTGCAGACTCCAAGGGGGAGGAACAGATGTGCAGACGCGGGATCCGCTATCCATCATCTGGGCATCCGAGGGGGAACGGACGGCCGGTAGGACGATGGGTATGCACACTGATTGCATGCGAGCGCACCGAGTGCCCGGGAGCAGCGGAATGCACCCCATTGCAACCCATGCTGATTGCACGCGAGGACGAGCGCACCGAATGCCTCGCGGGGATGCAAACCCCCACCCCAAACGCAGCACAGACAGCCTAGCAAACAATAAGCTAGGAACGGAACGCACCTTGGGCTCCTCCAGGCACGCATCGACGCCCGGCTTGAGGTTGCGCAGGTCGCTGAACACGCCCTCCTCGAACTTCTTCATGTTGCGCACGGGCCGCCCGAACGCCTCGAAGCGGAACACGAGCGCGCGCACGATGTCCGTGCCCGTGATGTGGTACAGCCCGCCCCAGAGCACGCAGCTCACGTACTCCTGGTTCGGGAGCAGGAACCGGTTCAGCGCCGGGTGCGTGCTGTGCGGGTGCCCCGCCGGCGCGAGCTGCCCCATCGCCAT